TATGTAATGTAATGTAGCAGTTGTTAAAGGAAAACTGTCTCTATGGTATTGTAAAGGTGATGTAGTGTGTGCCCGGTGGGTTAATTGTGTTAACCTTCTCTCTCTCTCTCACTTTTAACATCATCGCATTATTTTAAAACAAGTAATGTGTCTTAGTCACTATTCAGCTAGTTTCATAGTGTTTCATTGTCCCTCAATACTCTTGTATAAGCAGCTGACAATATTTGGCATATTTCAAATTGTTGTTAGACAATGGCAGTACATGTACATGTACATGTATGTGCATCTGTGTGATGTCTCTTTTTGTTTATCAAGACATGCAGTGTAGAGTTTGTGTACATGTACATGTATTATGCATGGACTGTGAAATGGATGGATTTATGTTGTTTTGAACTTTTAACTCTCTCTCTCTCTCTCTCTCTCTTCCCCCCTCTCTCTCTCTCTCTTCCCCCCCTCTCTCTCCCTCTCCCCCCTCTCTCTCCCCCTCTCCCTCTCCCCCCCTCTCTCTCCCTCTCCCCTCCTCTCTCTCTCTCTCTCTCTCCCTTTCATTTTGTTCCTTCTCTCCATCTACAAAGTTTTCTCTAAAAGGTAAGTCTTCCATTATGTATATATTCCAGGATATTATTACTATTCACACTATACCAAATCTACTCTACTATATAGTAAAAAGGAGAAGAAAAAGACTGACACTACTAGCAAGCAGGCTACTGATGTCTCCAGCCCAGCTGTCACTGTTACTGTAAGAAAAAGGAAATACTTCAATATGGAAATATACACTCATCTTGTTATTTATTGTTAACATAGCTTCCTACTGTATTTTCACATGTACATGTACACGTATATATATATTCATGGATATAAATATTTAGGTTTAAGTACAGGTATCAAGTGTATTATGTGTCATAATGCCACCGGCAATGTGACCTCCTTTAATACGCCTGCATGAATAGTTGCTATGTATACAATTATTATGATATTGTGTTACAGTATACCCACATTATATATTCACTTATCATTTTACATTTTCTCTCTCTCTCTCTCTGTCTCTGTCTGTCTGTCTGTCTCTCTTTCTCTCACTCTCTCTCTGTCTCTCTGTCTCTCTGTCTCTGTCTCTCTCTGTCTCTGTCTGTCTGTCTGTCTCCCTCCCCCTCTCCCTCCCTCTCTCTCTCTCTTCCTCTCTCTTTCTCTCTGTCTCTCTATCTCTCCCCCTCCCTCCCTCCCTCTCCCTCCCTCTCTAGGCTGGTGAAGGGCTATATAGGAAGCTAGCTATGCATCAAACCAACATAATGCAAGAACTGGAGACAATAGCTAGTCAGTTTAGTACATGTACATTATATACTGTAAATTTACATGTACATGTACATACAGTGCTTCAAATAATGATAGAAATATTGTACATATACATGTATCCTTTGAACTTACCAACATGTGCTTGTATGTACATGTACATATACATATATGTACCTTATATTTTCTCTCTCTTGCTCTCTTCCCAATGTACATGTACATTTTATATTTCCCTTAAGTGTTCCCGCTTTTATTTTGCTCTCCCTCCCTCTCTCCTTCTCTCTCCCTCCCCAGATTCTCTTGATAAAGTCTTTGCTGATGACAAGCAGCCTAACTATAGCGACGTCATTACGAGACTTCTTCAACAGCTGGACTCGGCAGTGTCTACTACACAAAAATGTCTAACAAAAGATATTTATGAGAAGAATTCTAGGTACATCTCTCTCTCTCTCTCTCTCTCTCTCTCTCTCTCCCTCTCTCTCTCTCCCTTCCTTGTCATACGTGACTCATTTGCTGAGCTGTCATGTCTAGAAGTTGTTTTCACTTGATTTTAGGAATAATGAAACATCAAAACACTCACAGTGTCTCTTCACACACACACACACAATGATACTAAAAATAGCAACAGTTATACATATCCCTTTCACATTATAATATAATCGAATGCGTCAAGTACAACAGTATGTATGCTCACAGTGCATGTGTAGTCGGTGTAGTGTGAAGAGATTAAGTGAAGCAAGACTAGTCTACACATAATAAAACACTTTCTAATAAGCAGAGGATCAAAGAAGGGGACACTCAGACAGTGTGACATATGAAGTGATAGACTTTGTGAAGGAGGGAGGGTAGGAGGGAGAGAGAGAGGGGGAGGGAGAGGGAGAGAGAGAGAGGGAGGAGAGAGGGAGGAGAGAGGGAGAGAGGGAGAGAGGGAGAGGGAGGAGAGAGGGAGAGAGAGAGGGGGAGAGAGAGAGGGGGAGAGAGAGAGGGGGAGAGAGAGGGGGAGAGAGGGGGAGAGAGAGAGAGAGAGAGCTAGTCTATTACTAAAATCCACATTGCATTATTACCATATGTTGTTTTGGTCTTCTTGAACAAATGATAAATATTTATGCTTTCCTTCTGCATACTTTAATATCGTAAACATACACCCATTTTCACATACACATGTACTCTGTTGACAAGTTTGTTATACATACATTGTACATGGACATATAGCTTCAGTTTACTTTATAAAGTATTGTTTTAGTTATGATACACTTTTAGTTAGTAATGAATAATCATCTTTTCTCATTTTCATTATATACATTGTATACATGCATGAAAGCAAATCTCTTTGTAAATTTTTAGAATATTTTATGTATACTGCACATGTGCACATTTAATTATGATATTTAATTATTTTTTAGTTTAAAGTCTAAAATGGATACCTATCAAAATGAGGTTCATGCTAACGTGGCCTTGCTAGTGAAATGGGCCGATTTCTCCAGTCGTGATCCACGATACAGCATGAACAGGGAATATGTCTTTGACTGTGTGACGAGATTTAAGGATGGACTAAATGTAAGTACAAGTATATAATGTACCTACTCTTTTATTTTTCTCTCTCTCTCTCTCTCTCTCTCTCTCTCTCCTCCACCTCTCTCTCTCTCTCCAGTCTATAGTGAGATTAGTAGCTGAGAATGTGATAGGAGTAACCAATGCTAGTAATACACCAAGCAGAGTCACTGCAAGAAGGTAATCATCACATGACAATCACATGACAATCACATGACAGTCACATGACAATCACATGACAGTCACATGTACATTAAGTGTATTCATGCAGTTCATATGTACACGTACATGTACCACGTCTCAATCAAGTTTTCTTCCAGTTACATTTTGATTTATATTTGTGATGGTTTGGCTCCTTTTTCTTTAATGATTTTTGTTACCGTAGATCAGGAAATTAGTGTGATACAAAATTTTTGTGTTTTAAAAATGTGCTGTGATTAATTTTTTACTAAATAAAACTGTGTCGTGCATTATTGAATGTGGCATGTAATTTATATGAGTGATCTAATTTTTTGCGAAATTCTAATTTAGTAAAATTTAAATCACAGTAAAAATTTCCAGATAGACGGTAATTTGTACATTTTAATCCTGTCCTAAATTCACTAAAATGATTAGTAAATGCAATTAAAAGTGAACTTAAAGCGTACATGTACATGTACCTAATCATATTACATGTTTATTGCATGTTTTATACATGTACATGTATAATCACATGACAGTCACATGTACATGTATAATCACATGACAGTCACATGTACATGTATAATCACATGACAGTCACATGTACATGTATAATCACATGACAGTCACATGTACATATACCTCGTAGGTCGTCTGTTGGTGATACAGTTCTTCATAAAACAGGCAATGAGTTTCTTAATGGTTCTGCGACACTACCCCACCATCATCAAGATGCTCCCATCAGCTCCACCTCTCTCTCTACTCCTGGCGTACCGACGAGATCTCAGAGCGTTAAGCCGAGGCTTAACATGAGTCGTGATTCTCTTAACTCTGATTCGTCTGATTCCGACGTGATGCTGAACAGACGATCGGACAGCGCTGATAGACATGAAGTAAGTACATGTACATGTACAATGTACATGTATGGCAGGTGTATTAGATATAGATTGTGTATTGTTATGTATTAAATGGTTTAATAATATGTACATGGTGTACATTTACATGGAAACTATGATCATTGTTAGATGTAGAAATAAATTTTGGGAGACCAATCTTACTAAAAGAGAGATTTAAGGACCCCCTAGGGCTAAATATATGAGACCGAAAGCTAAAAGTGGGAGATTTTAGGAGACTTAGACCAAATATGGGGGACCAAAAGTCTTCTAAACTCCCTCTAGATCTACATGTACACGTACTTGTACTTGTAATAGCCGATGTACATGTACATATACAATGTATATGTACATGTACTTCATAATATTGGATTTGATTTTTTACTTTAATTTTTTTCTGTTTTATTTTCTTTTCTAGGAATTGGCTCACTATGCCACTCCTCCCCCTCCATCATCCCATCGTCCGTCTGTTCCCGTCGTTGCCCACGACAACGGTCACTGGGGACCAACCCGTAAGACAAGCTCACCTGGCCAGGGTGAGATAATGAATTAATTTGATTATTAATTAATTTAATTATTAATTAGCAGTGATTGAGTAATTACGTTATTCATGATTGTGATAATAAATTACTTTTATTTTAATATTTTTTCATTTTTTCTAGTTCCGACTGATCGGGCATTAAATGGAGATACCGGCGAGAAGCCTCCACCCATCCCGGTCAAGAAGAGACGTCAGCAACAGCAATACCTTCAGCAGCAGTCGTACTCACCTCAAGTCTCTCCCTCTCACCATTCTTATCACCAGCACTCGTGAGTCACATGACCTTGTGTCACATGACTTTGTATCACATGACCTCGTGTCACATGACTTTACATTTACATGTATGTATATTTTTAGTTATTCTTCACCTGTCACTACTTATACTCCACCTGCTCTTTTGGTAAGTTGGTACATTTAGTCTTTCTTCTTGCATATTGTTAACAATCTTATTTTATTGTCCCTGTACTATAGTACAGGGACTTTTGCCGAATGTCATGAAAATTGAAAAGGAGAGAATTCTCCATTTTTATAATTTTTCCTAATATATATACATGTTTTTATGTTTTGTAGAAAGTTTGAGTTGATTCCGATCAAAATTGGATTTTTTATGAATTTTATAATGTACACGTGTACATGTACAGCTGTGCTTGTGCTTCACAAAGCTCTTCTGATTTCTCTCTCTCATTTTACAGAAAAGTCCCCGTAAGGGAGAATACGATGACATTCCTCCTCCTCTCCCCTCCAAGAAAGGACCAAGAGCCTCAATGACTGCCGGACTGATAGCCACGCCCACGCTACCTCATTCTCATCCGATGGGAGGTTCCCTTGATGCCCCTCCCCCTCCGCTAAGAATAGACTCCATTGCTGGTCTCCGCTCTAAACTTGAGACTCAGCAAGGGATGGGCGGAGTTCCTGGGGGCGTGGCTTCGACACTTCCCAACAAACCTCCTAGAGTAGACTCGGCATCTGTGAGTGTTAATAAATAATTAATTATAAATTATTATTATTATTATTATTATTATTATTATTATTATTATTATTATTTAGTATTAATTATTGATAGATTTAATTTATTTAATTCATTTTTAGGGTAGTGGCCCTCCTACTCCACAGCACAGCAGTTTATTGAAACTCATTGACCAATACAATAAGACCATTCACGTACAACCCACCGGTGAGGCTCCGCCCATCCCTCCGAAGAAGAGAACAGGTACGTACATGTACATGTACAAATGTACATGTTGTTTATTTGTGTAAGATTTTGGCCGAGTTGCTAAAAATAGCTCACTATGCCAACTGTGCTATTTTTAGCAACAAGATCATCGACATGTACATGTACAATTTAAATTTGATTTTAATTTTAAAATTAATTATACATGTGCATACAGCTAGTACATACTGTACATGATCACATACATCATGATTGACATTTTATTACATCTCTTTCTCTCTCTCCCTCCCTCCCTCCCTCCCTCCCTCTCTCCCTCCCTCCCTCCCTCCCTCCCTCCCTCCCCCTCCCTCCCTCTCTCTCTCTCTCTCTCTTTCTCTCTTCTAGTTTTGATGTACAATCAGTTGTTCCATTCTCAAGACTACACCTTTGACGACAGTCTCATTCCTTCGCTAAACATTCCCGACATGGTGGCCCCTCCCCCTTTACCGCCTAAGAAGAGACGAAGAAGAGTTAGGAAAGAGAGAGGGAGAGAGAGAGAGGGAGGGAGGGAGAGAGAGGGGGGGGAGGGAGGGAGAGAGAGAGGAGAATTATCGTATAGCTAGAAAATTTGGAATGTCAAAAATTTGGGAAATTGACTATTAAAGAAGTTGAGATTATAAAGAGATTTGGAGGTTAAAATTTTGCCAAATGAACCTCAATTTGCCAAATTCACCAAAATTTTACTCCACCAAATTCTCTAGCTATAGACCAATGCATATAAATTCATTAATCAAATTAAAGCTGGTAATTGAATGACTGTATATAGATATAAACATAGCTATTCACCAAAAATTATTTCCTCCAAAGAAATTACCTGCCATAAAGCTTTATGTGTATACATATCATAAAAGGCGTTGGCTGTAAACCTAATTAAGTTACTTGTGTATGTACCCAGTGCACGTTTGTATTTTTTATGTTTTCATTTGTTTTTGTTTATTTGCATGTACATGTATTTGTGTTACATTTGTAGGTCGTCGAACCGGTCAAACAGGATAGCACAACCAGAACTGCCTCGACTGTGATCAATGTAAGTTATTTATTTTTATTTATTTGTTTGTTTATTTATTTGTTTATTTATTTATTTGTTTGTTTATTTATTTATTTATTTATTATTATTTTTAGGGATCTCCTCTTCATAGTAGTGTTAAACATAATGGTGACGACTCAGCGTAAGCTATTATATTACGATTATCAATATTATTCTATTTTTTATTATGCTTTTAAAATTGATACATGTTCACGTCAAATTTTCTACACAAATGTACATGTACATGTAGCATTGTAAAATGTGTAATAATTGAAAGGTATATGTATTAATTTTTCATGGATCTCTGTTTCAAACATTTACTATCTTGCCCCCCCCCCCAAATTCACTCATCTTCAGACCCTATTTTTTTCTAATATTAGGGATGAACTGGACCCAGCGGAAGAGAAGATTGATTACCTCAAGCTGGAGGAAGCCACTCCTTATCTTATATTTGAGCAGGGGGATGGAGGGTGCACTTTAAAAGGAGGAGAGATTGAAGCACTCATTGCTTATGCTGCGTCTACCAGCAGCTCAGGTAAAATTTCTAAACGTACATAAACGTACATATTTTGTAATAAAATTTAAGTGTTTTTAATCAATTTTTTGCTATTTTTGTATTGTTTCTGACACTCGTAACTTTAAAAGTAGCTGTCAGAATCAGCTCAAACTTGCTACATAGCATAAGTACATCAATATGTATCAGAAAATGTAATAAAAATTGTGGGTGATTTCGGAGCCATTTGTTGGAAAAAAAACCATGGGCTATAGCCTTGGGTATTTTTCAAAATTTTGGCATTTTCTTAAAATGGCCATAACTTGAAAATTTTAAGTCAGAATCAGCTCAAACTTTCTACGCAGCATAAGTACATCAATACGTATCAGAAAATGTAATAAAAATTGTGGGTGATTTCTGAGCCATTTTTTGGAAAAAACCATGGGCTATAGCCTTGGGTATTTTTCAAAATTTTGGCATTTTCTTAAAATGGCCGTAACTTGAAAAATTGAAGTCGGAATCAGCTCAAACTTTCTACACAGCATAAGTACATCAATATGCATCGGAAAATGTAATAAAAATTGTGGGTGATTTTGGAGCCATTTTTTGGAAAAAAAACCATGGGCTATAGTCCAAGCTTTTTTTCCAAAAATGTATATTTCTGTCTCTAGTACATATGTACTTTGTAATGTACTCTTCAACTTCTCTCTCTCTGTCTCTCTCTCTCTCTCTCTCAACAGTTAAGCAATACACTGAGGCCTTTCTCTCCACATTCTATACTTTCATCACTCCCGATCAGCTCATATCTAAATTGCTGTATCGTCTCGAATACTTTTACAACCAGGGAAACTTGGCAGTGTGGCAGGCAACAACAAGTCTCCTTGTCAGAATTCTCAGCAGTCAAGCGTAAGTTTTAACATCTACATGTACATGTGCATGTATCAATCTGGTCACGGCAAACAAAAATGACGGTTTGCTCATGGGACAAAGTTATGAGCTTTCTAACAGCGAAAGAACATAGAGATACTGTCTAAAGTCTTTTTTGGAAGCATTAGAAGGTAGAGAGAACCTTCATAAATCGTAATAAGAACCCAGCTGTACTTGCAAGGTGGTGAAAACAATTATAGGAATATTTTTACACTGTTACACTTGTTAATTATGAAATTTTTATTATTTATTTTTTTATGCAGTGTAGCGCTGATAAAAGAGGCGGAGATTACGTTAATTGAGTTCATTCATATGATGCTTAAAGACGGGAACTTGAAATTTGGGCAGCTGGTAAGAAATGCCCTCGTCGAGAAGTTGAATCAGAAAGCGCCGGAATTTATACCACTATCATTCGCCATGTGTCGGAAATCAGGGTAAGATGATGGAATGAAAAACTTCAAGAATTAAATTATTTTTAAGGATTGAAATTAGATTTTTTTATGTTAATTTTTTTAGTCGTCCTGCTAGTATCAATGATTTTGATGCGTCAGAGGTTGCTAAGCAACTGACGATACTTGATGCTGACTACTTTTACAAAATTGACGTTTCTGAGATGCTCTACTGGGCCAAGGAGCACAATGAAGAGAAGTGCCCAAGACTGACTCTTTTCACCATGCACTTTAATAATGTGTCACAATGGTGAGAGAGAGGGGGAGGGAGGGGAGAGAGAAGGGGAAAGAGAGAGAGAGGGAGAGAGGGAGGGAGAGAGAGAGGGGGAGGGAGAGAGAGACAGAGAGAGAGAGAGAGAGAGAGAGAGAGAGAGAGAGAGAGAGAGAGAGAGAGAGAGAGAATGTGTACAATATACAAATGTAGTACATGCATTCAGCATTCATACCATTACTTAGAAAAAATAGGGGAATGGGGAACGATGGAAAGATTAAAGAAAGAGATCGGGAGAGAGGATAAAATAATTACAGTATATACATGTGTATGTACATGTACATATACATTAAAGGTATATGTACATGTACACATACATTAAAGGTGCATGTACATGTACACATACATTAAAGGTGCATGTACATGTACATGTAGGGTAGGGTTCAAGCTATTTTGGTGTCAGGGGTCAAAGTTTGTTGGCAGCTATACTAGTGTTAAAATGAGTTAATGTGTCAAACCATTTGTAGAGAGGCAGCGTTAAAGAGAGAAATAACTAGTCAGAATAACAATAACACAGATCATGCAATGAAACTGGACACCATGTACTGTACACATCCAGGACTTTTATTAATGTTCAGCTGCTATTAGCATTGTTAATACATGTACATGTATTATTTATTCATTTTATTTTATTTTATTTTATTTTCACTAGGACTAAGAGTAGACTATTGGAGAAGGATCTGGAATGGAAAAAGAGAGAAAAGCTTATGGTATACTTTATCAGTGTAATGAAGGTAAACCAGAAAGTACAACTTCATTTCATGACCTTAAATCTCTCCTCTATAGTCATTAAGAGAATTCGGTAACTTCAATGCTTATCTAGCAATACTTTCGGCAATCGAGAGTGCACCTGTTTCACGACTTGATTGGTCAGAAAAAATATTAAAAGTAATTAATCCAAGACTGAATCTGTTATTATTATAATTAATTTATGAAGCCTAATGTGTATTTAATTTATAAAGCCTAGTATATTGTATTCTATATTGATTATTAATGCATTTCTGATTTATAAAGGCTGTTATTGTATTCTATTATTATTCTTAATTATTTTTAATTTATAAAACCTATTATTATTATATTTTATTTTAGACTTTAGAGGAGCCAAGGGCGTTAATTGATTCCCGGGGCTCATTCAAGAACTATCGTCAAGCGTTCTCACAGACCAAACCGCCCTGCATACCATACATGTAAGAGATTGTGATGAATGTAAATTTAACTTGACCACAAGTGGGTTTCTTTTGTCGGGTCAAACTTTGGGAAAATACAACTTTACAGAAAGACCACCCCCTCCTACTTTATGCATTTTTGTGTTCAATTTCTCTTTTTGTAACTAAAAAGAGAATAGAAAGAACAAAAGTTTGATCAAACAAAAGAAGTCCACTACCTGTATTACTGCATGTTATTCATTTATTTCTTTGCAGTGGTCTCTACTTGCAAGATTTGACATTCCTTGAGGAGCAGCCGAGTAAGCTGGAAGACGGTGTGAGCGTCAACTTTAGTAAGAGATGGAAGCAGTTTAGATCAGTTGATCACATCAGATTCTCACAGACAAAGTAAATTTGAACATGGACACTTGTTGCATGTAGCTGGTGTAGTGGCATGTAGATTTAATTGTACATCAACTATTACTGAAATATAGAACAAAACCAAAGAATTACTTAAAACATAACAACACTCAGAAGTCCAAATAGAGAAATTAAAAATTATGCATGTGTACAAGATAAGCATTGATCTAGAATATAATAGACTAAGTCAAACACTATCTACATACAGTGAAACCTGCTATTGTGGACACCTCTAAAATAAGGACACCTCTATAATGAGGAGGGGTAGTATCAGTCCCAATACAATATGAATGTGTATTAATGAACCTCTGAAATAAGGACACCTCTATAATAAGGACAGTTTTATTTGGTCCCAAGGTGTCCGGAATAGACAGGTTTGACTGTAGTTGAGAAAACAGGAAAATTAAAACTACATGTAATCTAACTATATCAAAGTATAAATACACTGATGATAGTTTATGGTATACACTGTATCACCTCTCTCTCCCTCTTTCTTTCTTTTTCAGGCAATATGGTCAGGATTTTCATCCTGATCCTAATATTATGGGTGTATTCAACAACTTTGCTGATGTGGAGACAGATGAGGTAAGCTATCTACTTTTTGCAAGCTAGAAGTATAGATATTTCACATGCTACATGTCATTCTTACAATTTTGCAAGTTTGCAAGTGTTAAATTTCACATGTACAGTACATGTACATTGTATAGTCAAACCTTCTATTGTGGACACTCTAAAATAAGGACACCTCTATAATGAGGACAGGTAGTATCAGTCCCAATACAATAGTAATGTGTATTAATGAACCTCTGAAATAAGGACAGGTTCATAATCAGGAGCTAGGGTATTATTGGGTACCAAGGTGTCCGGAATAGACAGGTAGTATCAGTCCCAATACAAGTGTGTATTAATGAACCTCTGAAATAAGGACAGGTTTATAATCAGGAGCTAGGGTATTATTGGGTCCCAAGGTGTCCGGAATAGACAGGTTTGACTGTATACATGTACATTTGATATTGATTCATAATGCACAATTGTACATGTACTTATTTTCTTATGCAGTCATTGTGGGATAGATCTACTGACATTAAACCAAGCAATAGACAAAAGAGCTCCACTCAAAGTAGCAGTGCCAATAATTAAGGATCAGGGTAGACCAGAAAATAAAAAAATAATAAACATTTTATATTTTTAAAAGCGGAAAGTTGCAGGCGCTCGCGAAAGAGAACATCCGGTATATATTATGTCATAAAGTTTTAATTAATTTATTTTATACCGAGTTCTTCCTTTATTTTTTTCTTAATCACATCTCTCTGTTACTTTATTATCCGTAATTATGTGTTATATTATAAATTATTTTTGTCTTCTCTCTCTCTCTTCCATAATTAATCTCCTTATTTTTTATACAAGTATAATGTAAAACTGTTATTATTATTATTATTATTATTATTATTATTATGAGTGACTTAATTGTTTGTGTGTGTATTTATTATCATTATTAACATGTTATTGTTGCTATTTTGCTTTATAGAATGCACATAGCAACTACAATTCTTATAAAATGAAGTATATATATTACATAAATGAAATCATAGAGATAATAGAGTAAATGTCCCTCCTACTGCTTCAAGACAGTTTGGATTCAAACAACTCAGGACTACATTTACTCTAATATCTATGATAAAATGAAGTATAATCTTATATGTAGTGTATATAAGGAAACATTAAGAAGTAAAAAATGATTTTCTTTTATTTCCACCAAAAACTGACTGAGAAGCTTACAGTCAGTGACCTCACGTAATGCCAGTGTTTTGGTGGGATGTATAATACATCGCCAGCTGTCAAATGACACTCAAGCGGTGTAGCTTTTGAAAAGAGAGGGAAAGTATTTAGATCAGGGAATTCTGCATCCACCTGCAGGGGATTTAAAAAATTACATCCAATACATTATAAGTGGTTGAAATTATTGTGTAGTATATAGTTATATTAGCAGTTTCTTTGCCAATTAGTGTGATGTTTAGTAGCTAACTTTGCTAGTGTTAGTTAATAGGGTTTCATGTGGATATAGTAATGGAGTGTCTTCAGGAGAATAAAGTTTTATATATTTCTCCCCAATGACCTTAGAAGAAGAAGAATTAAGATAAAATCAAAAATTTTTCAAAAAATATTTCCTGAACTTGAGCTAGTAGGTTATGCTGCGGGTCAAAGTGTAGAGGAGAAATCGTTCCTTTGGGGCCAAACCAAGCATTAATGGAGACATCATCAGATGAAGCAGCATCTGAAGGAGCACTCTCATTAAGACTCAGACAGCAGTAATCTGGTATACATATGTCCTTTCTTAGCTCTGGTATCTAATGTATAGAAAAAGAGAGAAAAAGTATGCTCAAATTAATTATTATTTTATCTAATACTAGCATACATGCAGCCTGTCACATGCATAATACATCAATACTATAATAGTATCAGATCAGTACTTGGTCAAATAGCTGATGCTGAGCAAGATATCCTTTAGCTTTTTCTCCCTGTGGAAAGTTGATTAATAATGTCACATCATACACTGATTTTTCTTACTTCTTTCTCTTCACTTTCAAGGAGAATGAATTTGTCAATGAAGTCTCCTATACTCATTAGGTCTTGCTTCCAGTTTTCATCAGTGTATCTCAATCCTACCTCAATAGGGACTGTCCTGGCTCCAGCAACACTCTTAATGTAGTCAATGCTATAGGAATTGAAACTAAAAAGATCAGTATCTAGTCCAGCAATTATCATAAGGCTTTTGTGAAGTATTATTATTTAGTATAAATCATCAGGGGTATTGCATGTATGCATACACCCTTTCAAAAATTGTTTAAAGACATCTAATCCTCATAATTGCTTGTTGCACTTCAGGCTGTGACTTTTAAAGCAGCCAGTTTGAATAGTTCATAGTGGGTCTCACTTTTTACATTTTTGTGGTCTTCACACAATAGTATGAATCTCATTATAGCTACACTATATGCACTGGTATTATTAAATGCATGGACAAAATTTGTTATATTTCATACCTCCATTGCCTGTTTGACATAGCAGGCCAGTGGTTTATACAGCCTTTAATCAGTACAGGTTTCTCTTTCTTCATATAGTCCTCTTTAAAATGCAACAGGGAAGGAGGTGAATGGAGGACTTCAACACTAGTATTGATGACATCAGCAGGATACAGCTCTGCATTTTTAAGTTTCTTCGTAGGAAGAGAGCTAATCTTTTCATCAAATTCAGGTTGTCCTTTTCTCTTATAGTTAGTTTCTCTTATAACAGTGCTCACAGCACTGCCCCATCTTTGTAAAGAGTCATTCAGCACTGGTGCACCTAACAGAAGGCCCCTATCAATGGCCTCCATTGCATTGCTGTATCTCTCTTCCTTACAATACACCATGGCATCCAAAATTGCAGTATATGCATATAGTCTCCTGTAAGAGATGGGGAGGTCCTTCCAGTGCATTGCGTGAAGTTGTTCCCAGGACCAATCCATTGCTACTTGAATCCAGCCATGTGAGCTGTTGTAGTCTCCTGTTTTTATATTCTCAATACTCCTCCGTAGGGCAGTCAAGAAGCTAGATTTTGCAGGTGTATTTAACTCGTTTAGTGTCTCCTGGACCTCCTTTAATAGAGTCCCATTGAGCAAAAGTAAAGATAGCTCTTCCACTAGTTGTTCCATGCTTAAAGGGGCGGGGCTTGTAAAGGGTGGGGCTTGGCTGGGCGTGGCTAAACACGTGGTGACATAAGACTTGAAAATGAAGAGGCTGCCAGTTGATGAAGATTTGACTCCTGAAGATGCAGTAATGGACGAGAAGGCGATGGCTAGAAGGCAGCTTTGGGGCAGTGTGGCCATGTTTGCAGCCATCGTGGTGTCACTGAGAGTTGGTAAGGAATTAAATAGCATCATTTAGATGTCTCACTATTAATTCTTTTAACCATCTTTAGGTCCTTATTTATGGAGGTTTTTGACTAGTTGATTATAAAGATTTAATATTATGATTTAAATCAATGTAAATCATTTATAATAGTAATAATTCTGCTCGGTAATAGTTAAATAATAGTTATTAAAAACGGGGTGTGATCATATTCCAGTCGAGATTAGATCGTATTTTTTCACTTATTTTGTGTCTTGACAACAACAATGACTGAAGAGAAAAGAGAATGGTTAAAATGATTAAATTAATTTATGATTATTTACCTATTATTATTAATAAAATGATTCCGACGATTCCTCCAAGAATAAGTTTTAACTATAATATGAGAGAGTGAGAATGACTTGGGATGTTCTTCACTTTATGTATCAGTAACTGACATACCTTGCAGTTCTTCCACCACATCTTTCTTTCCAAGCGTCTTGAACTCACTCTGAATTGTGACGCACTCTCAGCCAGCTCTCCTGCGAGAAGAGAAGCGTGACATCATATATTATGAGTTATGGGCATAATGATAAAAAAATCCCTGCACTATAATGTGCATGGTTTTTTCCAAAAAATGGCTCCGAAATCACCCCCAATTTTTATTACATTTTCTGATACATATTGATGTACTTATGCTGTGTAGAAAATTTGAGCTGATTCCGACTTCAATTTTTCTTATTAGTACTTTTATAAGTAGCATAAATACCTGATTTCTCTTCCAAGTCTTCAAGTTTGTCTCCTCTCTCCAGGACTTTGGTTATATTGTCCTTCATTGTACTTATTACACCAGTGACCTGATTCTGTACCCTAACAGAGCAAAGACAATAACATCATAAAATAATGCACAACTCAAGCTCCATTTACATGCATCATAGTTCTGCCTATGGTGGTCAGGACAACCACCTCAACAAATGAACCAACCAGTTCATCACTTAGACCAACCATCCAATTAATACTAATAACCATACATAAAGCATGATATTGTAGTCTACTAGTATGGTGGACATAAATTTAAAAGGAACAATATTAGTCTCCAACTACCTCTAATTTTATTCCAGGCAGAACCCTGACTCATGATGTACATACAAAAATGCTAAATACTCGAATGATATAAATATTACTTTAAAGAACACAGGTTGGTACATAAATAGTGTCAATACATTACATCATGTTAGTATTCAGGAATCTAATAATAGTATAATTCTTATATTTTTCATACGTGGTTGTTATCTTTGGAGACCACCCAACCCTCCTAACAATAATATTTATAATTATGAACTTTACAGTAATGAATATAGAGTAGCTCTGATAATACTGATGTGCAAGACACATATTAATACTTACTGCCGTATTTTAGGATCTTGAGCATATTGTGAGTGCGTTCTACTTGAGTGAGGCACATGAGGAGAGCTGTTAACAAAACTACAAAATATTAACATAATTTAATTATAAAAATAAACATCATTAATAATCTCTCACATTTCTTCTTCCTCTTCGTCAGAGGAGTCCAGCCCCAATAGTTGTACCTGTTACATAAAAGATGATAAAATAGCGTGGCTTTCATCTCTTACCCTGTCCTGCCCGCCTCTCTGTCCCCTTTTAAATTTAGGAGGCATTTTTGGTTGAAGACTTGGAAGTTGAAAATGTGTTACTTGTCACACCTCCTTCTAATTTTAAGCCACGCCCTCATTAATTCTTGACAACGCCTACATAAAGATGGCGGCTCGATTTTTGTCGTCTTTTTCCAGGCAGCTCCCAGTTCTGACCTTTTTCACGAAGCAGGTTAATTTTATTATTGCTTTGATGAAACAAAATTTTAATTTAGTAAATTATTTGTGTTCTATTTTTATGCCTTCCAGCTTCTGTTTTTTTTTCATCACTTTTTGTTAGTTATTTTTAATTTAGGGAGGTTGCTCATTATGTGAGGAAGCAAGAACAATTCTTGATAAATACAAGGATCAGGTATGCAGTAAATAAATTATAATTTAAAAAAAGATTATCATGAAAAATATTATTTTAAAATAATTAATTCTTTAGTTTGTATATGAAGAAGTTTGCATTGACACAAGTGAAGGAGCCAAGTGGTACGAAGCGTATAAACATGATATACCAGTGCTTCACATTAATGGCCGTTATCTGATGAAGCACAGGATAAACGAAGATAAATTACTAGAAGCTTTGTCATCAAAATAGCGAATCAGGTACTTGTGATATTGTAATAATAATTGCTATTGTAATTATATTTTAAACAATAAATTCACTGCCTTTTATATGCTATTACAACCTATCTTCACATACTCCTTTTTTAAATTAAAATCTTGAATATTTTGATTTATTAATTTGCACTATTTTAATGACAAACTATGTAATACTCTCATAGCTGTGTTTCTCATGATTTCAATTTTTTAATAGCAATCATTATAATCCAGTACCATTATTTGTACTAACTATGCATCCGTTATCTCGTAAATTGTGAACTGAAATGGAATTAAAGTTTTACTATTGGAAAGAAGGGGAATTATTCGTGTCTGCATGCAGACAGTATAAGAAATCATTGTAGAGACAGGCACACACTAACAACTCACAACCACAAGTACATATAAAAACATATACTATGATATACAGCACGAGTGTGTGTGTGTGCATGTATGTACATGTATGTCAGTTAGTAAGTTAGCCAACTAAACATATTAAAAGACGAAAAATTTTTAATGAGCATGAGAGACATATTGAATGAATGAAGTCAGACGTCGTGTGCGGCGTCCGCAATATTGGCGCCCCCCGTGGTTGGAGGGAGGGTTGGGATGGTGGGTGTGGTCGGAAGCGAAGGCCGGAACATGTTTGACGTGGCAAGGGAAAAGTGACCGGTTGAGCTGTCCCAACCGAAGACCGATCCGAATTGAGGTAGAGGAGAAGGGCCAGTAATGGGCATGGCACTCGGTGTAACTTGACTAAATGTAACTAGTGGAAGAAAGAAAATAAAGAAAAAAATGACTTATAAATCCATTATCCAAGGTACTCTGCCTTTAATAATTTAATATTAGCTCCAAAGTATTGTCATTTGTTGCCGTATAGCGGGAATTTTTGGAAGGACTAAAATTTGGCAAATTGCTAAATTTTTGTGATCGGCAAATTTAAATTTGGCAAACTTGTGGCCATGTGCCATTGAGCGTGCGTATAATGGCTCAAAATGGCAGATTTTATTTTGGCGAATGGCTGTCGAAACGCCAAATTTAATTCCCGCCAAAATTTTCCGCTATATATAAATAGGTGATTATTTGTGTCATTTCTAAGTAGCTTTGTTTAATGAAACCATTACTTGACACATTGCTACTAGTATAAAAGTGCCACATAGTACTGCTTCATAAATTTTGACAGCCGCTTAATGCATAAAATGAAATTTATGCATGCTGCATTAAATATTGTTATACCCTTCATTACCTTGAGTGAAATCTCCCTGGTACGGACTAAGTAGAGGAGAGAGTGGCGGCCATTTTGGACTCAAAAGTGGAGAATTCTGAGGATAGGAACTCGGTCCAAGAAGAGGCGAACTGGGCACTGGCCATCTTGATATTCCATTGTTGAACCAATTACCATGATAATTGAATCTAAAGGAACAAAGAGTTTTTGTGTGTCCAATCATATAGAGCATAGATCAGTGTTGATAGCTATACAGCATTTACTATTGCAATGCTTTAAATAGTTGGGAATTTCAACTATTTTGCTTAAGTAGTGATGCACACACAGACAATGGCAATTCACTGGCAATTCACTGCACTGTAGTGTAGCTTTGTAAGCAATTTGATATATAACTTATGGCATTTATAATGCATGTATTTAGTGGTTTTAAAGTTACCCTGATTGTAGCTCTGAGTCTGCAGGAGAGTCCCTAAATGCCTTTGCAAATGGGTTATTATCAATTTTTAGCTGTGTCACCTGCATGTTGATAAATTAATTATAAATATTATATAAACTGCATGTAATACTTGATCATTCTGGTAAGCTGTGACAGCATAGAAATATGCTTCTGGGAATTCTTGTACATGAACGACTTCGGATTTCTTACGGGTGATGAATTTACTGACAATGACACAAGGTATATACTTGTGCATAGAATTGAGTGCAATCTGCAAGAGAGAGGAGGGAGAGAGAGAGGAGGGGGAGGGAATAAGATAATTGTACTCTCATAATTATACACCACACCCTGCTTGGACTGCAACAAAAAAATAAAATACTTCTCAATAAACACATTAGCCTTCAATGGACTTTCATTGGTTTGAGAAATGTTTGTTTCCATTGAATGAGGTGGCAGACTAATAGCTTATTCTGTCTATACCTTAAGTATGCAACTAATAGCTCTTTTTTAGATCCTTATTATAAAATGTGTTTTACCGATGAGAATAAAAAAGCCTGTTAAAATAGGTGCAATTTTGCCTGCAAGTTTAGTTACTATTATTATTATTGCATTTACTTGGCCTTTTCTTGTGTTCTTGTTATTTGTGAGTTTCACTTTCTTGAAATGGACCTTATTGTGGAGCCAATGCTTTCCCAGTGCTGGTGAGTCTGGATGAACATGCGCTAGGAGATCATCAATGTGGCTCTCTCCTTTACCTGCGACGACCCAGCTCGTGTTGACAAACTTGTATCGCTTGTTGTCTGCCGGGTTGCAGCGGAAGGTCATGGTGTACTTCTGGTCCATTTGCAGTCCGCAGATGCTTGCACTGAAAGTTGGAAACATTCGTCTACCAAAATGATAGAAAAATAATCATTTTATATTAAAATCAATTTTTATCATTTGCTTCAATAAAGGCCCATTGTGTATAAGCTCACCTGCCGGATTTGGTGATGATCATTTCAGTAGCCACTGCAGAAAACTTGCTCCACAAGTCCATGTTGTCAAGAGTGAGTGTTATCCCACTGTGTGGAGTTGCTAGTAATGGCGAGGGACTTTCTTCTAGCTCTTCAGCCTCGGGGCTGTCTGTGCTTGTTGTGGACTGTGGATTGAGTTCTTCCTGGCCTAGAAGGCTACCCCCACCTTTGCTGCAAATCTCCAAGCTGATGGATGGATCAGCGGTCTCCATTTTGACACCTCCGAGTCTGGAGTTGTCCGGGACGTTCAAGAGGGGCAGCTCGTCATCTTCTGGCTCTTCCTTCCAGCAGCCTCTTTTTATTTCTGGCTCAAACTCCTCCGGAGCTACTTCTGTGTTCATTTTGGTTGCTTTGTGCTTTTGTTATTCGTTCCAGCAAGTAGAGAGAGAGTACACAACACCTATCAAGTTCTAATGCGCTAGAAAGTTTTGCACCTCACGAGTCGGCTTAATTTTTGTGGGCGGGGCTGGTTTTTAATTGTCTCTTTTTGTTGGTGTTTTTTTAAACAAAAATCTCTGCTTTCTCCACTACATGCAATTTAAATTTTAAAAATACAGTTCTTTTCTTTATGCCATTTGCAAAATGTTTCTCAACCTTTGCTACAGTTGCATTCACTTTTATTTCTAAGCAAGTGGTCATTGTTATGGAGGTTGTTTGTGTGAAGCTAGAAATTAATCAACAGGGGCTCCCTCATTCCTTGCATAGGTACTGCTTAGCACATCTCGCGAGGGCTCCCAAGCCTTATAATGCATTTAGGCCCGCAGATCCCGTCACTTGAGATGCAAGACACCAAAGAGTAGGCTATTTTAAACTAGTCTCGAAAAGAGCTAATTATAGACTTATTGCATTACTATTAACTGCCCCATGCCATGGCCAACACTAGTCCAGTGAGCCCAGTCGAACTACCGCGTCCTTATGATATATCTGCTGCTGTTCAGCAAGCCCTTAGTTTGAATACTGCAGGCGGAAGATCGCTGCACAGTGACCATGCAGAACTTGAAGAGCAGCCAGGAAGATCACTGGAGTGCTCTTTTCAAGGAGACTCGCTTGACGAGGAAGAAATTGAGGAGCTCCTCCCAGAACTCGGGATGCTCGGCGAGGATGTATGGACGGACGTTGCTCTTCCAGATGTGGATACCAAAGGTTCTATAACCCCAGACAACTCAGCCAACATGGAGGAACTGGAAAGGTTTTGCAAATATATAGACGGGGATGAAGAGGGACCTCAGGATCTAGTCAAAATAAAACGAGAGAAATCCAACAGCACTAATCCTCCGATAGTGACGAATAAATGTCTCGGGAGAGCTCTTCGAAAGACTCCAGGTCCTCAGGCCTCTTCACCAAACAGTAGCAACTACAGTGTGACACTAGAGAACGCGGGTCTCTGGCAGCAGTTCTCTCAGATTGGGACAGAAATGGTCATAACAAAAAACGGGAGGTAATAGAAAGCATGATTTAAAAGCATACATTGATTTGATGTTAATTTTTTTAAAACAAAATTCAAATAGTTTTTTATCAATTTTTAATATTTTAAGCTCTTTGTGTACATTTTATTATTTAACGGGTGCTTATTGATTAGGCGGATGTTCCCGGCTATATCAATCCTTATCAACAACCTCAACCCAGAAGACATTTACTCTCTATATCTCGACATTCTCCCTGCCGATGATCGGAGGTACAAGTTCATGCAAACCGATTGGGTCCCAGTAGGAAAAGTGGACAAAAAGTTTAGCTATAGGACGTACATGCATCCAGAGTCGCCAAACACTGGAGTCTTTTGGTTAGAGAAACCTGTAACGTTTAAATTTCTCAAACTGACTAACAACAAGAATACAATATACAGAGACCAAGTAAGATAGAATCCACTGCTTTTATAATAATCATACTCATTATAGTTTTGTTTTTACTATTATTTATTAAAGTGAAATTTACTTATTTTTATAAGATGACACTTTTTACAACTTATTTTTGCAGGTCATTCTCAACTCCATGCAAAAGTATATTCCTACTATACGTCTCGTTTGTGAGACTACTAGAATGTCACACACATACCAGTTTCCTGAGACAGCATTCATTGCTGTCACCGCTTACCAAAACAGCAAGGCAAGGAATTTTTTAAAATCACATTTATTTTTAAATGCTACATACCTCTTCCTTTCTCTCCCTCAGATTACGCAGTTGAAAATTGATAATAATCCTTACGCGCGAGCTTTTCGTGACTCCATCTCTTCCGATAATTCCGTAAATGAGGGCTCAAAGCGAGGCGGACATTATCGCCACTCATCTAAATCCTCTGTCTCCGTTTCATCTCACGCCCCTGTCATCAAGCATGCTTCAGCAACCGTAGTGAGCACTAGTAGGGGAAGTGCTACGAGTGTGGAGTCAGGTAGGCTATAGCTCCTACGTGTGTGGTCTTTCAATGCTTTCAAGGATAGTTTGTGCACAATTATCACTTGCTATTTGTGGATAATGCCTTCTCCCTCACTTTTCTCCATGCATACAAACACACATGTATACACGTGTGTCTTTATATTGTGAACAATCCAAATAGTAATGTACACAGAACTATAGCTATTGAGAGCTTGCTTGCTTATTAAATGGATATTTTGTTTTTTTTATAACAAAGGGTTTGAAAGCTCAAGTAGTACAGAGATATTAGGCTGGATACCAGCTGCACTGCCTAACACGATTCAGCCAATGGAGACACACTATGATTGCAATCCAGCCTTCAATTACTGGTCAGATGAGCCTTGCCTGTATACCAATTCACTTGTCTATGCACCACCACAAATGATGGACACTTTCACTGAAGCTCCTTACATTCATCAGGGGCCACCAACACAGTAAGTAGAGAAATATTAGCTACTGGAGTTCATACTATAATACATATTATCATTAATATTGTCACTGGAACAATTCACTAAAATCAAGAGTAAATAATGGGCCCATTATTTACTCTGGCTAAAATGTACAGTACTAGATCCCCTGCATATATTGGCATAATCACATTGCCCACATATGTCATCCACAAGTTTTTTAAATCGTTTATAAGATTGAACGTTTACATTGTTCCATTTACACTAATCTCTCTTCCCTTTATTAATAATGCTATAGCATGTATCTTGAGTCTCCTGATGCCACTTTGGTGAGTCCTATGGAAACCACTGGAATACCAGCACCCCATCCACAGCCTTGCTTCATTGATCCGCACTGCTTCAGTGCTCCATCCTCTCATCACCCTCTCCCTCCTCACCCACCACCTCAACTGCATCCATCGAAACCACCTTTCTCCATTAATATGAGTTTTGAAGATGACGATGATGTATTTATTTAAAAACTCTACAAATCATATATCTATCTATCTATATATACATATATATATATTATATATACTTGTCTTGTTGTTCATCATTTTTGTGTGTTGTCAGTTTTTGTTATTTTATCCCCCTCTTGTGTTACGGATCACTTACTTTCTGCAGATTATTATGAACTCAAAATTATCAAACTTTTAACCTTATTCAGTCTAACTCCTCTTTCAATTCATTATTTTCTCCTTAATAGTAATAATGATAAACTGTTTTAAACAACAAATTTTTAAATGAATTAGAATGAAGTATCGATTTTACACATCAAATACACATGACAGACTATATCTCGCATACAGTGTACATGTACTCTCATGCATACATGTACCTGTAAAATTATAAATGTGTTCCTCCCTGAGTTGTAATTAAATTCCACAGTTTGACGCATTGTAACACCATTTACCACTCCAAGCCTCAAATGAGCACAAATTAAAGTGCACAATCTGCTATGAACACTGAGCCAACTTATAAGGTAAACATGCTTACCTCATACACAAAATCATATTTTTCTGCATGTATACACTCTCTTGCAAGACTGTTATAATCTTTTATTACAACAAGGAGCTATGAATGCTTAAGTGAGGGCAGGAGATTGAAAGAGGGGTAGGATTGCAAAGAAGTGTTTGGCTAAAGTGGGGTATGAAGAAGACCTGCAATTTACAGTTTAAATGATGAATCACAAGTGAAAAATTATTATTATTTAGAAAGGAAACGTAACAAATCACAGAATTTAAGGAATGAGAACAGAGCAACACGTGAAGCAGCCATCAACTTTGTTTAGCTCAGGTAGAGGGAGTGGAACCTTCTTGCATGACAAACGATCAAATTCGCTTCTTTCCTTTCCGAGTCCATGAATCAATACATTATTAGCAAACACGCAGTTAGCTTCTGGATTGCTTGGGAGGCTGATAAACTCGTACGGGAACTTTCCTTCTTTTGTTATGATTGAACGTGACTTTTGAGCTGGCTCTGAGGTCCCGATGGCAATTACATCAGGACTAGCCATTGAACAAAATGACTTGAGATGCAATGAGCCACTAACTGGAATTGGAGTAACAGGATAGTCAGAAAAACACTGTCTTAACTGCTCTATTCCTTCCTATATTGATAAACAGAAAATATTATTGGATTCATTTTAGTTATTATACTTTGATAACAAATCAGGTTTTATCGAACTAAACATACCTTCATTATACACTAATTCATAATCTCTACATGTACTGAATATGTACCTCATTTGTTCTTGATGAAAGTCCAATAAAGAACTCCCTGCCAGTGAAAAGGACGTCACCGCCATCCATTAGTCCAGGGGGTTTCATCTCTACTACTTTAAGACCCAGTGAGAGAACTGTCTCCTTTAAAGGTATAGTTTCTCCCCTTCTGGAAGCATGCCCTAAAAATGTATACAACTGTTAGAAAAGATGTAGATATTATTTTTATTTTGTTACTAAGATTGAGAAGGCTGCATGGCTAAGCACTAGTTAATTTGATGCAAACTTTAACAAATCAATAACTATACAGGTATGGACAACAATGCTAATAATAATTAAAACTCTTAATGGATTTCCTTAAAAATTGATTTTAAAGTGGGCCAAGCCAGAGATCACGAAATAGGCTCACTCCAAAATTCACAGCCCACAAAGACCAGCTGTTTGGTTTACTGGAGTAATAGTGGTCCAGGTTTAGCTGATTTTCAATTGAGAGGGACTAGAAGCTAGGTCAACTAGCATTTAGCACTATTGGACACTGAACAGCTGCTAATGAGGTCTTCCTAAACTTTACGAACCTCTCAAAAACATAAACAGGACAAATACATATATAGACAAAATATTATTTAGAAGTTAAGAAGCATACAATTGAATGGGTAGGGTAGTCCCACTTTCAAAGACTACCCTCTGGTTACAGGAAATGTTGGTCTTACAAGAGGGGTGTTTTTTCATCAGGTAGGCAAAAGGGCAATATAATCAGCAAAAATAGAACTTCAAGTCTGTTTAAAAGTGGTCTTAAATATGAGGCGGTTTCTTAGCAGTAATGGGTATTGTAGATGCAATGACTTGAACTATAACACACAGTGGTCATACTATTATTATCATTATTAATAGTATTCAAGTGTTACAGGCTAGTAGAAATAAAGTAACAAACCAATTGATATCAGTTATGCTTTTAAAATGCAGTAGCATAATGATGTACATGCACTTAAGCCCATGCAGTATCTCTTCCTCTTTTTCCATTTGTCTACCTGGTATAGTAATTAGTGCTGTATCTCCACAGACAACTAGTGGATCTTCAACAAAAACACAATCAGGGAAATCTTCGTTTTCTTTTATGTGTATTATCTCGAGTCCCATCTCCTAATAACAGATAATGCTATTAGTTCAAAGTTTAGATATAGTTAGTTAATAAATCAGTATCTTTTTTGAGTGGTATAATATTGATGAGCAAGAAAAAAGCATGAACTATGGCCTATGATTTTTTTTCCAAAAAATGGCTCCGAAATTACCCCCAATTTTTATTACATTTTCTGATACATATTGATGTACTTATGCTACATAGCAAGTTTGAGCTGATTTCGACTTCAATTTTTTGAGTTAAGGCCATTTTAAGAAAATGCAAAAATTCTGAAAAGTACCCAAGGCTATAGCCCATGGTTTTTTCCAAAAAATGGCTCCAAAATCATCCCCAATTTTTATTACATTTTCTGATACATATTGATGTACTTATGCTGTGTAGAAAGTTTGAGCTGATTCCGACTTCAAATTTCTGAGTTACGTCCTTTTTAAAAAATGAGCCAAAATTGGAAAAATACCCAAGGCTATAGCCCATGGTTTTTTCCAAAAAATGGCTTCAAAATTACCCCCAATTTTTATTACATTTTCTGATACATATTGATGTACTTATGCTGCGTAGAAAGTTTGAGCTGGTTCCGACTTCAATTTTTAAAGTTATGAGCATTTTATTTAACATACCTTTTCCAGGACATCAATGTATTCTCTATGCTGCTTCCTTGCTAACTCCAGATCAACTATTGGAGCATCAGCCTCGAGCCTTAGAGCTGCTTCTGGCAGAGATGCAGGCACACCACAAACAATAGCTTTAGTATATCGAAACATATCAGCCAATTCTTCCTTGCTGCCTATTTGTTGGACGCCATCTTAAAATGAATTTTTAATAAGGTTCTTCTGCGCATGCGTAGACTTGGCCCAATCCTCGTGTTGTATAAAGGCAAAGTGAGTGTCCATTATTCTGTTAAGTGTATTATTTTTCCTTCTTTAGAAATGGAAGAAGACTCGTGGGACACCGAGGCGGCTGTAGAACCACCAGCAGTAGAGGTTAAACTATTTGGAAGGTGGAATCCGGACGAAGTACAAGTTGGAGACATCAGTTTACAAGTTTGTCATTAATATTATAATTATTTTATAAAGAGGATAATGATGATCACGTGATGCCCCCATATGATCACAAATTAAATGATTTTAAAAGTCACATCATATATTATATAATGGCTGAATCCTCTCAACCACACCCATTAATAAATAAATAATAACTTATTTTTTCAGGATTATATATGCATTAAAGACAAAGGGGCTGTGTTCCTACCTCACACAGCTGGACGCTATGCTATGAAGAGGTTTCGAAAAGCACAGGTGTGACATTAAAACCATGTCTTGCCACTTGACCCTTTACAAACCCTTCTAGTGTCCAATTGTGGAGCGCATTGTGACTTCACTGATGATGCATGGAAGGAACAATGGAAAGAAGATGCTCGCCGTTCGTATCGTGAAACATGCCTTTGAAATCATTCACCTTCTAACTAACGAGGTACTAGATAGCGGAATGCTTTGATTCGCGAAAATTAAATCCACAAAAAGGATTTTGTGAAAGTCGAGTCCCTCAAATATTTTGAGCTACACGGTATACCGTATAGCACTTTAATTTGGCAAAGTTTTATTTTGGCGATTGGCGGTCTGCAAGCGGAATCACCAATATTAAAACCGCCAATCATTAATGCGCATGCTCAGTAATGCACGTGTACCTTTAAAAAATTGCCAAATTAAAAACCACCAATTACAATTTTATAGCATAATCTCAAAAGTATAGCGCTATAAAGTAATTATAATATTAGTAATAATAATAATATTAATAATATTAATCCTCAGAATCCTCTTCAAGTGTTGGTTGATGCCGTTGCCAACAGTGGCCCTAGGGAAGATTCGACTCGAATCGGACGTGCTGGCACCGTTAGGAGACAAGCGGTTGACGTATCTCCATTACGTCGCGTGAATCAGGCAGTGTGGCTACTGTGTACAGGTAGGTGTGGTTTTGGGTGTGGTCAAGTTATTGATTGGGTGTGGCTTTTTAGGAGCAAGAGAGGCTTCCTTTAGGAACATAAAATCAATCGCCGAATGTCTTGCTGATGAGCTGATAAATGCTGCTAAGGTATCATACTTGGGTGTTCTATTTGTTGTATTTCAAATTCACATTTGCAGAATAATTAGTAAAATTTTACAAGTACTATCTGATCATGTTGCTTATAAAAGAGCCTTGCAAAAGTTGAATTTGCAAAAAAGGGAATTTCTACTCTGTTGCATTTGTAAAAGTCCAGTTACCTTGTGCGATCAGTAATGATGCCTCCCTTTATGTTTTACGATGCATGTCCTTTATTTTGTGGGACAGAATTTTAGCTCTGCATATAAAGATGCAGCCCCTTAAATGTCCTTTTAGTAAAGATCTAGTGTTGTTTTATAGTGTGTTGCTTTTTAAAAGCTCCTTTTTTTCTCCTGCAGGGCTCCTCTAATTCTTATGCTATCAAGAAGAAGGACGAGCTTGAGAGAGTTGCAAAGTCCAACCGCTAAGAGAAAGAGAGTCCTTTCTTGTTTGTGTATTAATATACATTTTGATGACATTCGATAAAAGAGAAAGTCCAATTTTGCATTATTATTGAAAAAATTAATAGAAGATTATTATTAATGACCTTTTAATTAGGGGTGTGGCTGAGGTGTATTAAAACTTAAGGGTCAAATTAAATCGTTTTTTGTTATGAATTTGTTGAGGTTAACTAGAATAATCACTGCAACTCCTCCAGCTCTTCCTGCTAGCAGCAACAGCTTCATTTTTTATCAGGCTCGACTCTATTCAGACATGGCGGCCCCAGGAAGCGAGAGAGTCTTTACAAATTCCAAAGGAGACAGGGTCATTCTTCCTCGCCTCCCTCCTGCCCTGAGCAAGGTTTACGTACCAGGACGGATGTATAAGTATCAAGATGATGTAAAGAAACTCCCAGTGATGCCCTTGGATTACATTGCAAACAAGTATCTCAGCACCGTCGAGGTAGTTTATTGTGTATTCCTGGCCACAACAGAGCATGTGCATGACACATTTCTGCTTGTCTATCATGCAAGTTTAAGGAAAATCACTGTATAATTATATGAAATTACACAACAGTATAATTCTTGAATCATCGGGTGTTAAAACATAATGCAAAATGAAGAGGAAATAATTTTCCATTTTAATTACATTCCCTCATACATATACATGGTCTTATGTTGTGTAGAAATTTTAAGCCAATTCCAATTAAATTTTGATTCAATTCCAATTAAATTTTGATTTTTTATGAATTTATAAAGTTGGTCGAATTTCACCAAAGAAGTGACTAGGACAAATCTAATAATTTTTTTCTTGTACATATAAATTTTTCCTCATTAGTCATTGCATTTTATTACATTTTTTATTATCTTTCTGTCCCTAGCCATTACTGACTGAAGAAGAACTTGAGAGAACACGTGAGGTGGTGAAAGATTTTACAAAGAAAGGGGGAGACGGAGAAATGCTTCACAAGAGATTAGTAGAAAGAGGAAACAAAATGGATAACTGGGTACGATTAATTTTTATGTAATATTTTATTCTTATTATTATTATTTATTAGTTAAGTGACTGGTGGAATTACTATGCTTATCTTGCATTTCGTGATTCTGTTGTCATCAACGTTACTCCAGCTGTTGCCTACCCTAAACAATACTGCCCGACAAGAGAAGAGTATCTAAGGTTTTAGGAAAGATTTAAGACTTTTGTATTCAAGTTTTTTCCTTTAGAAATGCTACCAAGTTTTTAAGTGTGACATTTAAATACATGCTACTTGTTTTAAGGTAAGATTATGAATAATTATCCTCTCTCTCTCTCTCACTGTTTATAACTTACATGTACACATATCCTCTTTCTGTTCCTCTCTTTCTCTACCTGTCATCTTTTTGCTTTCTCTCCTCAATCTCTTCTCCTCTTTTTTTACTCTTTCTTTGACTCTAGTCCTCTCTTCTCTTTTCTTCTCTAACTTTAATCGTTATTGTTTTCTCTCCTTCGATCTCTCTTTCTTATATTATATTTTTCCTTCTTTCTTTCAGTGAGTCAATTCCTCCAGCTGTTTATCGCAATGTCCCACAATGTATGTCCCAGTATATGAGGTCTGGGTGCAGGATACCGGGAGAAATGGCTGACACTTTAAGGATTAACTTTCCTCCGGAAAAACGCCACGTAATCGTCATAAGAAAAGGACATGTAAGAACATAAGTAAATTAATTAATAACTTTATTTATTAAACTGGTTTTTACAAGTGTATGGTGTATAATCATTAAGCCCACCATCCACTATTCAACTTTGTTGAAAGAAACTTTGTGGTTACTTTGATGTGCTGTCAAATTTGTTGCCTGAAATAGAACTGACTTCTATTTCAGGCAACAGAGTTGCTCTAAGATCAAAGTAACCACACAGTTGCTTCAACAAAGTTGAATAGTGGATGTTGGGCTTTAAAAGCCCAACATCCACTAGGCAACTTTGTTGAAATCAACAGAAATTTTGTTGCCAAAAGTAGAACACTGTTCTACTTTTGGCAACAAAGTTGACAGACATCAAAGTAACCACAAAATTGCTTTCAACAAAGCTGCCATAGTGGATGTTGGGCTTTAAGCTATCAAAATTAATTTTTTAAAGTTGTACAGGTTAGAGGTATTTTACGATGCACCTGGTGGGGGCGTGACCATTGCTCCTGCTAGCTTTCTTTATGAGCAGCTCCGTTGGGTACTGGAAGACGCTAAAGAGAAGAACCCTTTACCTGTTAGCATATTGACGACCGAACAAAGGGACAACTGGTATCACGCAAGAGAGAGATTAAGGAAAAGTAAAGTCTATCGCTTTTATGTCAATTTTTATAGCAGCAAAATTTAGATCCTTTGAATAAAGAATCATGTGACATTGTTGAAAATGCTGTATATTGTATTTGCCTTGATGAGGGGGATTCAGCTGTTTCTGTTACAGAAGTGAGCAAATTTTAAAATAAATAATAATTTATTGTTGTTGTTGTTCAATATAGAATGCACTGACAGACAGGGAGGCAACAATAATTGCTTCTCGTTGTCTCCATGGCAACGGCTCCGCCCGAAACACATCAAACAGGTGGTTTGATATCACATCTCAAGTAATTACCTTATGAATATTCATGAGTATTATGTTATTATTATTATTATTATTATAGTTAGTATTAGGAGAGGATGGTGGGTTTGGTACTATTCTAGAACATTCTACAATGGATGGGCCAGCTGCTATTACCACCAACCTGTTCACTATTGACTTCATTAACAGGTATTACAATTGAAAAATAAGATGGCTTAACAAGAAAACCAGGTGTTCTAAAACCTAATAATAAATCATTATAATGATTTTAGTGAATTTAGTGCACTGAAGAATCTTTCAAATGTTATATTTAACAAAGTCAAAAATATTAAAACTACAGCTACCCTACATGGCAAAAACCAGTTTAATTTTATGATACGTTGCTTTATAATTTTGTAGTGGGTGTGATGTATTCTCCGAGGATTCAGACGTAGCACCTTCAGCTTTGAAACCGATTGAGAAACTCAAGTGGGATCTTTTGCCAGAAACTATTAAAGACATTGAAAATGCAAAAAATGCTATAGACAAGTAATGAATTGAGGAGTAATTGGAATTATAATTAACTGAATATCTTATTTTATTTCTTCAGGTCAATTAATAATTTGGATTTGTATGTACTCTGTTTTGAAGATTTTGGCAAAAATTTGCCAAAAAGTCTGAAATTGTCTCCTGACGGTTTCATCCAGGCAGCAATCCAGCTTACATACTATAAGTGAGAGCTTAATACTTTAAAATAATATTTCATTCTTATATATATATATAAAGCCTAAAGGTGGGCATCCACTATGCAACTTTGTTGCCAGTACCTTTGATGTGGTTGTGCAACATGTTGCATGAAGTCGAGAGTCTCTCTCTACTTTCTGCAACATGTTGCCTAACCACATCAAAGGTTTGACTACAAGTTGCAAGCAACAATGCTGCATAGTGGATGCCCACCTTAAGATACACTGTTGCAACATTTGTTGCAAAAAAACTTTTTGCATGCAACACAGTTTATACAGGAGTGAATGGAGCTTGCAATATGTTGCATGAAATAGAACTGTTTCCTATTTCATGCAACATGTTGCAAGCTCCATTGACTCCTGTATAAACTGTGTTGCATGCAACAAGTTGTTTGCAACAAATGTTGCATAGTGCAGTATGCTGGGCTTTATGTATAATATTTATTTATAGATTATATAATAAACCAACAGCAGTCTATGAGAGTGGTAGTATCAGATGGTTCAAGTATGGAAGGACTGACACCATTCGTTCCTGCACTAATGAAAGCCACAAGTTCATCAAGACCATGACAAATCCTTCATCATCAGTCAGCAAAGAGACAGAGAGAATGATAAAGAGAGAAGTGATACATGCTAATTTGCTGTGAAATACTTGTATTTTTTTCATGCATGCAGGCCCAGGAAAAAACAGAGTCACTAACCCAGTCAGTCAAAGCCCATTCACAGTACACTGAAGATGCAATCTCAGGTAGAGGTGTTGATAGACATCTCCTTGGACTTAAGATATTAGCTATGGAGTCTGGCCTGCCCATGCCTCAGATATTCAATGACACTGCTTTTGAAAAGAGCACTCATTTTTGCCTCTCCACCAGTCAAGTATGTTAAATAAGTTATTAGATTTTTAAATCTTAATCCACTTTCCTTTATTGTTCCCTCTCTGTAGGTCCCAGTGGCTAATAAAGATATATTCCTTTGTTTTGGTCCTGTAGTTCCTGATGGCTATGGCGTTTGCTATAATCCACAAGAGAAGAGAATCTTACTAGCAATATCCTCATTTCATGATTGTCCTCACACTGATAGTATACTCTTTGCAGACAAACTTAAAGAGAGTCTAAGGGAAATGAAACAGGCAGTACTTGATGCTGGTGAAAGCCCCAAAGCCAAACTATAGACATTTGTGTGTGACATTTTCATTTTATTTTGTTAGTATATTGTATGAATCATGATAAGGTGAAGGACATTGTAGCTTCCTTTATTAAATGAGCACACTTTATAAGCTATTGATACAGTGATAGCAAGTGTGGTGACAGTTACTTTGCAGTTATAGTGTAGCTGAACCTCAAGAGTATACGTATACAATGGCTAGTTTTAGTAGTGAAAACTCAGAAGGGACAGGAGAAGGCTCTTCCATTTGTGTCAATATCTCCAATGATACCCCACATCCAAAGATAGTCCTTATACTAGGTAAAGATCACAAGGCTCCATTGACTCCAGCCATCATTGAAGAAGCATGGAGAGTAGTACATATTGGAATGCATGGTAAGATATCGTTTGAGTATCCAGAAGACACTGAGGTTGGCATTAGCTACCAGAGAGAGGACGGGACTGTCATTACTCAAGGACCCCATGCAGCTAAGCCTGGGACTACTTGGAAGTTTGAGGTTGATTCTCAGTACGATGATGGCGACTTAATTCATGAAAGTTAGTCTGACATATAACAATATGCAGCTAGCATGCTCTACAAGTAAATGGGTTCTATTGCAACTTATGCTCAGTGTATAGTTGCTGTATTATAATTTTAGGCATACAAAAAGATACAACACTATTCTTATAATATACCCTTGCTTTGCTATTATCTTTTATTACTATAGTTCTTCTCTCTTTATTAGGTCAAGCTCCTCCTTTGCCAAATGGAGCATTCATGGTTTACAACAAACTCCCTGCAACTTGGTCTGGACGAAAGATAAACGTGGCCCTCTACAAATGTGGACAGGCTATCATCACCAAGAAGAACGTGCGGGTTGGAGACTATGTTGAGCTCCGGCCAACAGACAAGCTTCATATTTGTCTCATTGAAGCTGATATATTATCGGACGATGTTGATAGTCCTCTCTTTGGATCAAAGAGCTCTGCCTCTTCAAGGGAAGACCTCATCAAGGAGATGAGTGAGGCAGAGTTCTCTCCAACGATGAAGCTTGATTTAAAGACCTACCCTAATGGGGTCGATGTGACCATACAAGAAAATGAAATAAGCGGACAGATATTATTTGTACCAAAGCCTCATTACTAAGAAACAAGTTACAAATACTTTAATATAAACATTACTATTTCACTACATGATGTATTGATGATAAACTCTAACTTTCATATTATTAGTCAACTGTATGCAGTTGCATGTCCATTATGTGATTGACTGCTTTAGCACTGAGTAAACTTTCTAGCAGTAATTGACAGTTAAAATGACAGTTATAAGATCATGCATTAATAAGGCTGCCAGACAACAAGAAAATCCCCCCCTAAATTATCTGCTCATTAATAATTATTGAACAATTTAAGAAAAAAGTTCTATTAAACAAAAACAAAATGTCAAATAGTGAAAGTGTCACATATACTGATCTGCAGTAAAGAACAGCTCCCCTCCTCCAGGCTTCACGTTAAGAGTAACTTCTATGCCGTTAGGAAACTGAGAGAGGTCAAAGTCCGTGAGCGTGGTAACTGATGTGAGGGACTCAAAAGATTGTCCTACTTTCATGTGTGATACAACGCCAAAATATAGTTTTGGTTCTATGACAAAGTCGACTTGCATTCCGACACAGAGGCCTTTCTCTTGGAGGAGTATGTGACGCTCTTTGTAAATGGCGACGTCAAATTTGCGACCACTCCAAGTTGCAGGTGGAGTGTTCTTTATGACAATGCTACCGTTTGGATTAGGAGCAACACCAGTCTCTGCAAAATAAGTATATGATATTACTTTTAGTGTTAACTATATAGCAGTATTATTATAGCTCAAAAATCAACAATCAGTGGATTAATGGAGATACAGATCTAGCTTATTAAAATAAAATAAGATACAAGTACATTCTTATATGCAGTGCAACATTTATTTTATTGTAAGAAAATCTAGTAGCAACTCAAACTGTACTTTCAAACCTAGATCTTTTAACAAGAAAGATCTTTTTTTACATACTCAATATGATCTAAGGCCTCACTTCTTTTTAGTGTTGCAGAATCATTCATGGACTCTTGCATGATCTCCCAAGTGCTCCCGTGATCAGCATCAATAGGACCAGCAGTGACTGTCATTCCACTAGTTTTATAAGATACCCCGACACCAAGGGAGGCTGGGTAGGTGAACTGGACGCTGCTCTGCCCTCTGAGGATGTGCCAGGCTGTGTAGACGGTTGTGGGATAAATCGAGCTAGTGTTTTTGGCAAATACAACGACCTGGACATCACTTCTTTTGGAAGAGTTGACGTATTTGATTGGAATATCATTGGTAATCATTCCAGTAGATATTATTAAATTATATACAGCAACTAACAAAGTGAAGCAATCGCTCTCCTCCACTAAACTGCAGAAGTTCTTCAATATGAGGTCCCCAATTATAATGACTATTATATGGACTGTACCAACAGTATATAAGGACTAGCTGTAGCTATGTCTCAGTGATATCACCAGTTACTGCTGACAGTGTCATAAGGTGCAGTGATAACTACCTTCCTTTACTGCAAGGCAGTGTTCAACACTCAATAATACAATTACAAAGCATTTTAGTTCTATACTAGTAGGTGCATGTAAGCCCATGCATATACATGTATAATGTCATGATTTAATTTGGAAAATTAAATTATTATTGAAAAATATATCAGCTACATAATGTTATTTTATTTGCTTGGTCCAACTAAGCTGTTGCCTAATTTGCTCACTGAGCGAGACACACCAACTCCCATCAGCTTCTGCAAGTTCTATAAAAAGTAGACGCAAATGACTACTACCAAATTAATTTCTTTCACAAAAAGTAGTAAATTAAAAAAAAGCAATAACTATAGCCCATGGTTTTTTTAAATGGCTCCGAAATCACCCCCAAATTTTATTACATTTTCTGATGTATATTGATGTCTTTATGCTGTGTAGAAAGTTTGAGCAGATTCCGACTTCAATTTTTTGAGTTACAGCCATTTTAAGAAAATGTCAAAAATCTGAAAAATACTATAGCCCATGGTTTTTCCAAAAAATGGCTCCAAAATTACCCCCAATTTTTATTACGTTTTCCGATACATATTGATGGACTTATGCTGTGTAAAAAGTTTGAGCCGATTCTGACTTCAAATTTTCAAGTTATAAGCATTTTAGAAATAACCTATATAACCTCCTTATATACTTACCTCTCTTATTGACATAGTACAGAGTATGTACAAGAATATGAAGGAGCAGTCGGTCATGTCGGTCCCCATCAAATTACGATGAGAAATTCCTTGCAATATACCAAACGGAGTGAATGGTAGCTTCGCAACAACCCTCCCATCAAATCTATAAAGAATGAACATTCAATTATTTATTTGTTACTATAAATAGACTGTTACTATAAATGGATTGTTACTATAAATAGACTGTTACTATAAATAGTTTGTGTTCTCTATACAATACATGTAGATTTACATTGTGTTGAACATTCCAAGTAATGCAGTAAAAGTTAATCCAATGAGAACCATAGACTTCATTTTAACCTTCATAATTAATAAATAAATTAATTATAATAATAATAATATCTGCCATAATTTTTTAACCTCTATCTATACGTACCATTGATAAATCTTTGTTGTAATTTTTAAGCTGTTCTTCTTGCTTCTCTAGTTTCTTTCTTTTTTGAGTCCCGCTTACACTTCCTTCGCCAACCGTCTCTTTTTTACGTTCCACTAAAAATTAAAAAATTAACGGTCTTATTATTCTAGAGATTTCTCACATTTTCTGCTTTGTTTTTCAACTACATCTTTCAATCGCTTGTAGCCTTCAGTTCTGTACAAAAGGACATAGGAGAGACCTGCAAATAATTTAATATTAATGTACTGGCCACCATTCTATCACTCACCCTCGGAGAGAAGTGCTGTGCATAAAGAAATGAACAAGATCATCAAACTATCTGCAATCATTTTTTAGTTTTAGTTTGATTTTATTTTAGCACGTTCAAATAGATCATATCCGGTAAATAAAGTCTGTTCGTATAATTAGGATAGACCCAGCATGGTGTAATATGGGATGGGTTCAAGTTGCAGATCGACCTTAATGTTATGAATCTCTGTTGGAGGTGATGTTATTTGTGGGAGAGAAGTTTTGAAGTCTTTGCATGCCTTTCTATACTCCAGAGATACCAAAGAAGTAATAATATAAACTTTTGAAGCCACTGGTTTAGGACTGAAGAGAATGGCTGCAAGACTCAATGAAACACCTGCACTCATCGAACTCCAAAGTTTTCAAAGTTTAGAGAGATCTCCTGGTGTCAAAAAAGGGGCGCGGAAAAGAGACGTGAGCTCTCAACAGGAAAACAGAGAGCCCATTTCACCATTGAGCCTCCAACTGCCACCACTGACATCATCTACACTGCAGCAATCGATGGAATTCGGTGCATCATTGCTCACTTCTTTTCCATCAATCACCAGTGAGCTACACACTGCACCTATATCACCAGCCTCTAAAACCTCAACTCTACAGCAGCAACCATCAACAGGGCAGCTCGAGCCTAGGGTAGTTCGACGAACAAGACTAGCAGATTTGCTTGCTTCTCTTCGCAATGCCACCGGATTGAACGAAAACCTTAAATCATATCTCGTTGATGCAGATAGACTTATCTGCAGTGGGAAAACAGCTGAAGCAATACCTTGTCTTGAAGAGGCTATAATCACTGCAAAGAATAATTCAAGACTGCAGTGCGTTTTATGGCGCATACTTGGTAATGCTCATCTGTCATTGGGTCACCATAAGAAGTCTTCAGTCTGTCACATGCATCAGTTGGCATTCTGTCGTGAGCTGGATGATTTTACTGGAATGACAATGGCTGAATGCAACCTGGGTAAGTTATACTAGAAACATATAAAAATATACTAAATTACTCCATATGTAAATTTTATATAAACTACAGGTATATCTTACTTAAAGCAAGGTCTTTTAAAGCTGGCAGAGAGATGCTTTTTACAGTATTTTGAGAACAGCAAGATCCTTCAAGATGAGATGAGTGTGGCTTATGCCTGCAGTAACCTTGGAGTCCTTGCTAAATCAATGGCACTCCAAGAGTATACAACGACAGGCGGTAGAAACAGATCGGAAAAGATGAAAAACAAGAAATTGAATGAAAGATTCAAGGAGCTCCTGCAGAAAGCCATCTACTACTTTGAGCAGCATTTGGAGATAGTAGAAAGATACTCAGACTTGTAAGCAGCAGAGGCTATTATTAAAATAAATACATTATATTTTGTAGAGAAAAGCAGTCCTGTGTTTATGGAAACTTGGCCTCGTGCTATGAGCTGATGCATTCTCATAGTGAAGCTATATTCTGTCACAATAAAGTACATGATATTATTATTATTATGATAATTATCTTTCACTTGCTCATATGTATAGAGGCTTGAGATAGCTCGTAGTACCAGCAACAGAGAAGTAGAAGTGAGAATCTTGTGCAATCTAGGAAACTGCCAGAGAGCTATTGGAAAACTTGACGAGGCTTTAGAAAACTACTCATTAGTGAGTATAATAAAACTTTGATATTGACATTAACTCCCTTTTTTCTACCAAAGGGTCTTGAGATATGTCAGACAATAGATGACAAAGCTTCAGAGAGTGTTATACTGCTAAACCTTGGGGTTACCTGCGAACTGACAAAGCAGTTTGATAAAGCCATTGAATGGCACACGCTTGTAAGCAGCATTTTTGAAGTTATAAACATGCTCTTATGTCTTGTGTAGTATCTGAGTATGAATGTTGAAGCAAAAGACTTAGCTGGTCAAGCAAGAGCTTACAGTATCCTAGCTGAGCTGTATCGGCAAACAAGGCAGACGCTTAAATCCCTTCACCACTACAAAAAGGTACAGTAACTCATTTATCTGCACAATTAAATTTATTTTAATTTTTTTAGTTGGCCGAGGTCTTTCAGGCAATGGGTGACCATGAGTCACATCAGATGGCAATGGTGTTTGTTTCCAAAGCCCAAAAGGCACTTGAAAAGGAAAGACTAGCAAAGAAATATCACAACATTGAAACCCTCTCTTCGAGGGACTTTCCAACCTCAGCGCCGCCAAGTTTCAGAGGATGGAGATCAAGTGGGAAGCGAACCAAGCTAGGCTCCTGGTCTGGACTCAAACGATGGAACAACGGAAGTTTAGAAAGACCAGCAACAATATCCTGGAGTCATAACTTAGTCCTAGAGAACAAGCATGCATCAAAGAAACCTCTACAGCTAAGACGCTCAAATCTCTATCGTACAAAAGGTATCTTGGACAGACTCAACTCTCAAGACTCTAGCGATCTCAATGGGATTTTAAAAACAACGAGACCATCGTTTTATACGCTAGGGGAGTTCATGGAGCCGGTTCATCACAGACTTACGTCAGACGATGAGGAAGGGAGCGTCACTGAGTACGAGGACATTGAGGACACTCCTTACATGAGGGACCGGAATCATCCTGTCTTTGGGAGTGCAAGGCATTTGAAAAACCTCAGAAAAGTAAAATAATTATTTGCTACCATATTAAGCTACAAAATAAAGATTGCAACTACACAAGGACAAAAGGCTAACTAAAGAGTTCTATTATTATTATCATTATTATTATTTATTGCTGTAGGTTGGTAAGACACTTTTAAGTCCACGGAGTCAGTCTACTGGCCCTCCTGATGAGAACCCAGAAGATGAATGGTTAAAATGGCTGCAGCTGCATGATGTTGGGCCAGGAGGAAAGTAAGCCAATTTTTATGTCACTAAAAATAGAAACACATACATTACAAGTTTAGTACTCTAATACATATATGCTATATTTAGTAACTTTTCCTAGGCCCGAGTTTCAGAATCCTCACTTGCCTCTGTCTCATTCCGAGTTGAGTTTGCCCCAACAAACAAATAGGTCACCATCGCATCGTGAAGCTCCACCTCCTCCATCTCCACCACCGCTGCCTCCTCGTCTCTCTGATGATGACCCACCGACACCACCAAGCGTACCCCCTCCTCCATCACACCCTCCTCCTCCTCCTCCTCCCATTTTACACCCTTCACCTTCTAATCCTCCTCCTCCTCCTCCTCCCCCTCCACCACCACCACCTGTTAACAGGTTCCTTAAAGGTAATAAAGCTAAGAAGACTCCACCTCCTCCAACCAAACCAAAGCCAAAACGTAACAAAAACAAGAAAGGGTTTGGTAGTAGATTTGGGTCGTCTCCATCTCCATCAAATGCAAAGGTAAAGTTTTATTGCATATACTAGCTTATGCATGCATTCGACATTTTGTATTGTAGAGAAGTAGTTGAGTTGAGTTTGCATGATAAAGTTACTGAGAGAACTTCTACATATGCATAAACATTTATGATTATATTGCAACCTTTAGCATCATAAAAGTTTCATGGACCTTGTCTCATGTAATGAATTGCACGCTTTGAAAATGACTCTAAACACAAATTATCAATATTTGTGATCTTTTCTTTTTTTACAGAGCAAAGAAAATTTGCTCGAAGAGACTGAAGATTTCGTTCTCTCCATCAGCAGGGAAAATTTCCCAAGCATGTCAGGGCAGAATAAATTTAGAGAAGGAGGAAAGAGAAGAGTACAAGAGTCTCCAATGGCATTCTCAAACCCAATGGCAATCGAGGAAGAAGTTGGAGTGATGTTTCATGAAAGCAACCTTATATGAAGAAGTGACATAACAAAAAACCATAAACAAACATATTTTTATAATTTTTTTTACCAAGAGTACACATCATGCATATAGACACATCCATACAGTGCAACTTTTGAATGCATGAAGTCTGCATTTATCATACATGGACTGTTACACTTAGAATGTTTTTTATAGTTTTTGCAGCAATGTATAGTGATTTGGTTTTTAAGAAATATTTTTGTGGAAAAATCAAAGTGTGTGAGACAATCAAACAGTTATTACGCTACATGTACAATAATTAAAAACAAAAACAGAAATAATAATAATAATCATTATTATTATTATTATAAAGAATTACATGTACATAGACAAAATTCACCTATGATTCTAATGCCAAATAGTTTGCGACTAAAGGATGAAGATCGGGGCTAACCAAACCGACCTTGTACTGTATTTAATAATAGGGAGAAGTCAATTAAACCTAGAGATTAGTATAATGTAAGTTGTACAGCCAATGCCTAGTAAGAGGAAACTGCTAATAGGATTATTGTTCAGAAGTTTCTTCAGCTTCTCCACCTTCTAACTGCTAACAGAGAGAAATAGAAAAGAGAAAGGGGAGGGAGAAGAGAGGGGGAGAGAGTAAAATGGAGAAAAGAGAGAGAGAGGGGGACAAAGAAAAATGGATGCATAAAAGAAAGAGAGAGAATATAGTTTAAGAGGCAAGACTGAATTGGCTACCTTTCTCTTTTTGGCTGGGAGAGAAGAGAGGTAAGAGTCACTGCTAGCACCTGGAGGTTGCTGACCAGCAATTTGAGCCTGATCCTTTTGAATGGTAGGAATCCATTCCCACAGAAAAGAAAAAGAAAGAAAGAGAGAGAGAGAGAGGAACAAAGAGCAGTTATCAAGTTTATATCATACTTTTGGCATGGCTGATGGCCAGTTTTGCATTACCTCGGCTTCCTTTTTATCAACCTCCATGTCATCTTCGTCTTCATCTTCAACATATCCCTCTACATAGACAATGTGACATGTAATGGTTTCCTTTGGTATAGTGCTCTTCTCTGATTCCTCTACAAACTTGTCTACTAGTGACTGAGAGTTTAGCATACTCAGAACACCAGGTGTGTCATTATCAGGGAACATCATTTTCTAAAAGAAAGAGAGGAGAGAGAGAGAGGAGGGGGAGATAAAATTACATGCACATACAGAATAGTGGTATAATGATCTCTTACTGATATTCTCTTCATAGCTGGTGTCAGATCATTAGATGATTCTAAGCATTCACTGAGGAGGAGCGTGAATGTAGTCCCAAGGTTCATGGCCCAGTCATATATCTGCTGTGGGAATTCTGGATCATCATCTACAGGGAAAAAGATTGGGCACTCATAACTTTTAACTCATAGCTTTTTAAATATACGATCTATCTGGAAATTTTTACTGTGATTTAAATTTTACTGAATTAGAATTTTGCAAAAATTAGATCACCCATATAATTATATCCCACATTCAATAATACATGACACAGTGTTATTTAGTAAAAATTAAATCACAGCACTATTTAAAAACACAAAAATTTTCTATCACACTAATTTCCTGATCTACGGTATTAGTAATGAATTACCTGGTTTATTAACTATGATTTCCATTACATCCTTTAGCAGAAATGCACAACATTTCTGAGCTGAAGCACCAAAATCAACTTCTTCGCGTAAAGGAAGAGGAGGCTAAAGAAACAAATGTATAATGAAATAAATGTTATATGGTAATACATAGGCAATATTTGCTGCTTTCTTAAAATGGCCGTAACTTGAAAGTTGAAGTCGGAATCAGCTCAAACTTGCTACACAGCATAAGTACATCAATATGTATCAGAAAATGTAATAAAAATTGGGGGTGATTTCGGAGCCATTTTTTGGAAAAAACCATGGGCTATAGTCTTGGGTATTTTTTAGATTTTGGCTATTTTTTAAAAATGGCCGTAACTTGAAAAGTTGAAGTCGGAATCAGCTCAAACTTGCTACACAGCATAAGTACATCAATATGTATCAGAAAATGTAATAAAAATTGGGGGTGATTTCGGAGCCATTTTTTGGAAAAAAACCATGGACTATAGCCTTGGGTATTTTTTAGATTTTGGCTATTTTTTAAAAATGGCCGTAACTTGAAAAGTTGAAGTTGGAATCACCTCAAACTTTCTACACAGCATAAATACATCAATATGCATCAGAAAATGTAATAAAAATTGGGGGTGATTTCGGAGCCATTTTTTAGAAAAAACCATGGGCTATAATAGCTTTTGCCCCTCCATCTCTCAGTCTCTTTCAATTACCTGCAACTGATTAAGCACAGCTGGCAGCTCTGACACAAATGACTCAATAGCCTGAGGTATATTATCATTAGTGGGTTCCTCTCCATTTAAAAGACGCTCTTTGATAAATTCCCTGAGGGTTGGGTGAATAGTGACAAGGGGGCCAGTCACTCCACCAAATACAGTGACCACTTCACTAATGCTCATCTTCTTCATGCACCTTTCTACCAAATTGCCAATAAGAGTTGGAGGCACTGGGAGAAATAGAGGGAGAGAGAGAGAGAGAGAGAGAGAAGAGGATAAATAGATGTATACTCAAACAATGTCTTAATATTTGCAAGTCCATTGATGTACCGTATAGCGGGTTTTTTTCGAGGATAATAAATTTCGCGAATGACCCATATCCAGAAGTTTGCGGAATTAATTTTTGCGAATCTTCACTAATCTGCCATCTTGTACTGTATTAAATTGATTTTCAAGGAATTTAATTTCGCGAATCATGAAAAAATCCACGAAATTCACGAAATTTGTTATCCTAAAAAAAAAACCCGCTATACGGTATATGTACATGCAATAACCACATTATAATTTATGAAATGTACTACACAGTGTAAATATACATGTACATACATGTACACATGTAGATGATACATGTACTGTTAAAATTCTCAGAATTACATGTGCACTCTATACACCGAAAAGCTGATGACACCCAAACTAAAGCAGGTGTCTGCTAGTAGCTAATATTCACATGAAAATTAGTAACTGTAGTATACATACTATTGTACAGTACAGCTCATACTACTGGATCTCCAAGACTATATAAAAGGAGAACAAGAGATTGGGATCAGATCCTTCATATACTAATAATATTATCAGAGCCATTGCTGAGGGAAAGATTATGAAGGCCTTCATACTAGTCTCTCTTATCACCTGTGCCTTTGCCAAGTAAGCTAAATATTTATTTATATTTATTTATTTATTTTATGTATAGTTGGCCTATCTCTGTTGATATGAATTGTGATACAGCTCAGTCTATTATCCTATGTGGTTTTGAGTTTACCAACAATGCAAACAAGGACCTTTATCTATTGAAACGTAACACTCCTCTTGAAGGACTCCTCTCGGAATTTATCAAGGTTTCTCCTTCTCTTGGTCACTCTCTCCTGTATGAAGGGCCACTGATTTATCGTCTCCCTCCTACAAAGGATGAGTTTGTTCTCTTGAAAGCAGGCAAAAGTATTTCTACATCAGTTCCAATCACCGATGCCTTTAGCTTTAAGATAGATGGGATTTATACTGTGAGGTATATTGGACCAATACAGTATCTGTCGGTGGAAGAGATGGAGATTTTCGAAGAACAGATCAGGGAATCTCAAATCAGGGATGCCCAGATCAGAATTAAACAGATCAGGAATGAGCAGATCAGGGGTGAGCAGATCAGGGGTGAGCAGATCAGGGATGAGCAGATCAGGGATGAGCAGATCAGGGGTGAGCAGATCAGGGATGAGCAGATCAGGGGTGAGCAGATCAGGGGTGAGCAGATCAGGGGTGAGCAGATCAGGGATGAGCAGATCAGGGATGAGCAGATCAGGGATGAGCAGATCAGGGATGAGCAGATCAGGGGTGAGCAGATCAGGGGTGAGCAGATCAGGGATGAGCAGATCAGGGATGAGCAGATCAGGGGTGAGCAGATCAGGGGTGAGCAGATCAGGGATGAGCAGATCAGGGGTGAGCAGATCAGGGATGAACAGATCAGGAATGAAAAGATCAGGGGTGAGCAGATCAGGGATGAGCAGATTGGAGATGAACAAATCAGGGAATTACAGATCAGGATGGAACAGATCAGGGAGTCCAATGCCCACAAATTAATTGAGATGAACATAGATGATGCTTTCAACCTACTGAAGCCAGAACATCAAGAACAAGTCAATAGCGAAAGTGAAATGGCTCATTTTGAGTCCTGCAGTACAACAACCATATCAGGGGCTCCGAATCAGAATGATGAGACTTTGAAGGCTCACCAGAAGCTCTGTGATCAGATTGCAAAAGCAAGCGGTACAGTCGGTAACAATGACTTGTACACAACATGGTTTGGAGCTTATTCCGACTCTAGGTCAACCATAGTCAAAGATGTGTATCAGAAATGTGCCGACGGATTGAGAGACAATGCCACAATATACTACAACCATGGGATATTCTGCAAGCCTAACACCATTGCTTACACTTTTAAGAACGGAGTCAAGGTCTACTTATGCCCATACTACTTCAAACAGCCTACCTTTTGCGATGGGAATGCCTACACTAAAGAGGCTACTCTTATACACGAATGGGCTCATGCCTTTGGTCTTACTGATGACGTTACATATGGAGCTACTAACTGCATGAATCTGGCTAGCACAACTCCTTATAAAGCTATTGACAATGCGGATAACTACCGGTTCCACTATTGCAATGCCTACTAGAGGACTGCTCCTCCTGTGGAAACTTGAAAGCCAAGAACTTTAGGACTTTTTCATGCAACACTATAGGACATGCACAGTTTGAGTACACGCACTAGTAGTTCCTTGATGCACATGATTATTGTCTTGGCTTTAAAATAAAATAACAATTAAAAAAGAATTATTTGTGAAATATAATAAACACAGTCTCCTGTAGAGTAACAAATATTTAGTATTTATACAGTGAAGCTACAACCTACTCTAGTACATGTACATACACTATACAACATTTGTTACAAACAGCTTTTTGCATGCAACAAGTTTTTTTTGCAACAAATGTTGCATAGTGTATAGCTGGAAATATTTGCTGGAATTTAATTTTGCTGTTTGCTGTTCATCATAAAATGCACAATTTAATTCCACAAAGCATTACAGGTAATGGGTGTATCACCAGTTCACACCCACACTAGCAAAATTAAATTCCATGAACATTAAAATTCACTATATTGATACAAAATCGCAAAACATAATTCCCTCAAACTTTTCCACCTATAGAGTAGTGTATGTTACAACATAACTTCAGATTACACTAAATACTCTTACATGTAGATAACATTCATAGCGTAACATTAATAAAAATATGTGCATTAATTAGAATATGTGCATTAATTAGAATATGGGCATTAAATAGAACATTTACTTATTTCCTCCTCTGGTCCCCCTACAGCCTGACGTATACGAGCAATCGTCTCAAAGAAAGGTTGATCAGGTTCTGGAGAGAGAGAGAGGGAAAAGATACTTTTAATAAATTTGTTTTATTCTTACGTATAACAACGGTCCTTTCTTGTTGCTGCTGTCTCTCTCTCTCTTGTTTCTGTTTCATCATTTGCTGCAAGAGATGAACAGGCCCAGGGAGGAAAGGATTAATATCATCGTCGTCGTCATCACTATCGTCCTCCTTCTTTTCGGCCCCTCCCTCTCCTGCCCCACCCCCAGTGGCTCCTCCTCCTTCTCCTCCGCTGGTTACCGCCGGTCTCTCTTGATTCTCTCGCTGGTTTTGGTTCTGTTCCTCATCTTCCATCATCCTCATGGCCGCTCTGTAACGATGGAAAGAAGCAAATAAGTACATGTACAGTATATGTATATGCACAGCACTTTTTGTGGCGTAAAGATTTGTCCCAATTCATATTGTTATTTTAATCTTTTATTTTAATCATTTGTAAAATATTCATCAACAAAAACTTGCCATATACATGTACATGTATCTCTCCCTCCCTCTCTCTCTTCTAAAACTGCTTACCTAGTAGCCATTAGTGATCCTAATAGTCCAGCAATAGATCCTCCTCCTCCTCCTCCTCCCCCGCCTTCATTTCCACCACCTGCACCAGGTCTGTAAAGATGATTTAAAATAAAAACAATAATAATAATAATAATAATAAAGATGATATAATATTCATTCCGTCATGCAAAGTGTACCATATACAGTATACATGTACATAGCAGGTTATTTTGGAGATTCTATTAGTAATTATTGGCAGGTTTTAATTAACAAATTTTTGCCCTCAAATTATGATCCTCTCCAAAATCACCCCATTATAATGTACATGTACTTTCTTAATTCTCTCCCTCCCTCCCTCCCATTAATTATTAACCCTGTAGTCTCTTCATCACTATCATCAAGTGGAGCACTAAGAAGTGATAGGAGGGGGTTAGTCGGACGAGCCGAAGGTATCAAGTGAACAATACGAGGAGGTTCTCCTTCCAGCGTCACTTGGACCTTAAGAAAATAGGCGTGGTTAGTGGGTGTGGTCACAATGATTGGTTCTTACTTTCTTGATGGAGGCATAGGCTTGTCCCATTGCATTGTGATAGCGCTGAACTGCAGTCACTAGCTTACTGTTGTTCTTATAATCTTCATACTAGAAAACACAGAAAAATATTATTAATAATTCTTATAAATAATTATTATAACAAGATGTACAGTATAGCCTCTTTTAATGGACATTCTCTATAGCGTACACTTCCATTTAACGGACAGTACCTAGTGTACCAATTACATTCCTTACTGTATAAAATAACCTCCACATAAGGACACCTCTGTATAACAGAGACACTTTCTTGACCCAAAGTGTCCATTATATAGAGACTAGTCTGTACATGTAAAAGGGGTGTGGTCATTACCTCATAATGTTCTTCGGCGTAGATCTTTTTAGCATAGAACTCGTGTAACTCAATCCCTCTCTTCTGTAGGGCCACTATATCATCAAGAAGGGCTGCATACAGGTGGGCACTAATTAGAAAAGAAACAAAACATTTAAAATAGATGAGATACACATCTTTGTGACACTAAAGGACACTGATTTATACTATAAATGTATATGTAGAATGTTTGAGCTGATTCTGACCAAGTTATGAGCATTTTTAAAAATGAGCCAAAATTCTATAAAAATACCCAAGGCTATAGCCCATGGTTTTTTCCAAAAAATGGCTCCGAAATCACCCCCAATTTTTATTACATTTTCTGATACATATTGATGTACTTATGCTGTGTAGAAAGTTTGAGCTGATTCCGACTGTAACTTTTTGAGTTATGGCCATTTGCCAAAATCTAAAAAATACCCAAGGCTATAGCCTATGGTTTTTGTCCAAAAAATGGCTCCAAAATCACCCCAATTTTTATTACATTTTCTGATACATATTGATGTACTTATGCTGTGTAGAAAGTTTGAGCTGATTCCGACTTCAATTTTTCAAGTTACAGCCATTTAAAAAAAATGAGCCAAAATCTGAAAAATACCCAAGGCTATAGCCCATGGTCTTTTCAAAAAATGGCTCCAAAATCACTCCCAATTTTTATTATATATTATCTGATACATATTGATGTCCTTGGTAAATAGCTCCAATTTTTACTGTTTATTTCCCTCCCTCTCTCCCTTACCCAGCTGGTAATAGCATTCCAGTATCAGTCAGAATGTGCTGCCGTGGTCGACCGTCCTCTCCCATAGCATATACTGGACCCTCCTTCTTCTTGGCAGCTGCTCCTCCTTTATCATCACTACCACTAGCTCCTTCTTTATCCCCTCCCTCTTCTCCTCCCTCCTTTTCTGCACCTGCTGTCCCATTCATCAATTCTTTCTCTCTTGCTTCCCTTGCTTCTCTAGCATCAGCTTCGGCTTTTAGCTTCATGTGATGCTCTAGAAGTTCTCTGGCTTCCTTGCATTCCTTTGAGTTCTTTAAAAATGAAATTTAAAAAAAACATTATAATTTATTTGTAAATGCAAATGTACAATGTATAGTACATGTTCATGTCCATAATTATAATAATAATAAACTGATTAGCATTGAATGGTAATTGGAGTACAATGATTGTAAGGATAACCTCCTCCAGTTTACACTATTCCATGTCCATAAAGCAGTTTAAACCAGTTTAAATCAGCTTATCTTAACCACCTCAGTCAGGTAGTGGTTCAAAGCAGGTGTATTTTGTATTCAATGCAGCATTTAAACTGATTTAACCACAGTTATAGTTGTTGTGGATACTATTAAGAACTGGTTTCTGAACCACTTTAAGCTAAACTGGTTTATGGTGGAAACAAGGATATATAACATGTACATAAAGAAATAGACTTACCAAATATTCTTCTAGTATATTTTCAGCTCCTTGTATAGCTCTACGTACTGACGTCATGTGCTGGTATATTTCTAGAATATTAGTTTGTTCTCTTCCAGTTCTCTGTTGTTCTCTAACCCTCTCACGATACCGATCCAACTAGGGGAGAGAGAGAGAGAGAGAGAGAGAGAGAGAGAGGGAGGGAGAGAGTATAAAAGAAACAATACATCCATAATCCATTTACTCTAGCTCTTCTCTTCTTCCTTTCCTCCTCCCTCTCTTTCCTACGGCGGAATTCTTCCTCGGACACCTCAGGAGTAGGTGGGTCAATCATACACTCTATCCCTGGCTTATGTGACGTGCTAGTGTGAGTGGAACTGTGTAGCGTACGGCCTTCTGGAGTCTTAGATATAAAGAATAAAAATAAAGAAATAAAATATGTATTGTGCATGTAGTTAGATGCATCTATTATCTTTTCTTACCAGAGTGTGAATTGTGACTGTGACTAATGCATCAGGATGACCGCCATTGGTAATGGTGCTGAGAATATTGTCAGCAGAATCCTAGAGAGAGAGAGAGAGAGAGAGAGAGAGAGAGAGAGAGAGAGAGAGGGGGAGGGAGATAGAGAGAGAGAAGTATACATGTACATGTATAAGCAAAGAAAAGCAAGTACAAAGAAAAGAAGACAAAAACAGAAAGGTAAGTTGGATTGATTTAAATGTGTTAACATTACTTTAGCAAAATCCTGTAGATACAAGGTTTCAGGTGGAGGTGGGATATTCTCGGGCGTGGCTCCGATATATAAATACTCGTAGCTAACTTTATCTGGACGCATACCAGCAGGAGCTGAAGGGGGCGGAGCTAAAAATGACAATTAAATTTTAAAAAAATTTTATAATTAATTACTGTTATTATTTACCAGCTTTTGTTACTCCTGGAGAGCTTTTCACAACACGGACAACTTTGCCATCAATATCTGCAAAAAATAAATAAATGTGTGGGTGTGGTCAAACTCTGTAGCAACGCCCACCACTTAATTAAAAAGGGTGTGGCTAATCATAACTGAAAACATGTGTTATCAGTATTGTCATTGTGTTTTACCGTAACTACTGATTGGTTGATCATCCGCCATGACTTTTCCAAGTATAAGCATTCTCTGTGAAGCAACAGGAATGCCCTTTAGAGAAATATGGAGAAAAGTGCAATAATAATGGCCGAATGGCAATACATAAAATATCGTAATAACATACCATGGTCTCTTCTACTTTCTTTTTCAAGCTCTGGACGGTTGTCTGCAAAAAAGGGGGAAAGACTATAATAGAGACTTATTAATATTCATTAGCTAACCTCTCCAGGCAGTTCAAAGTCCTTGGAGTTTCCATCCATCGATTTGACGGTAAACTTCATTTTTGGCTGAATTAAAGAAGGTAAAGAACTTCAGAGCATGCAAGGAAATATAAAATCTACTTTGAGGCTTCTCGTTACTTCTCAAAGTCTCTTCGAATGTCACGAGTGGAGTTTCGCCCACAAAGATGGGAAATCACCTAAAATCACCGCCCAATGGAAATTTTAGTGGTGTGGCCAGTTATTCAGTTTATTACAGAAAAAATGGCGTCTTCATCAGAAGCACTCTTTCATCCCTCAAAATATGTGACGCGAGCTCTCAAAGACTCAGATGATACACTGGAGGCTATAGAGACCATCCAGTCAGAGAATAAAGTCAAAATCCCGTCCATACACGCAGCCCTTTCTCTGCTTGACCTCCATGGGATCAGCAGGGAGGAAACTCATCGTAGCCTTTTCAAGACACTCCAAGAGAACTTGACCGAGAGACTCACTTCACTGGACAGCAAGAGTATCAAGAGGCTCCTGGACAAAGCTTTCCAGTATACGTCGGTCCCAGAGATCTGTAGCGTGGTCATGAAAATGCTTGAGACACTCTCAGCTCAGCAACCGATAGACGAAAAGTGATTCAATGAGAGAGGGGGAAATATTGAGGCTGGGAGAAAAAATTCTTTCACTCCTTATCAAATTTTTCTTGTTCTATTTCTTTTCTTCTTTAATTTTTTCACTAGATATTTGCTAGAGATTGCTGAAAAGGAAGAACTATATAATGACTGCCCCATAATTGTTAAGAGGCAGATATGGCAGCTTAATCCTGGCGTATTTGGAGAGGCTGTGAGCCCACTGCTTGACCAGTACATTGCAGAAAAGGAATCGCAGCTATTTAACATATCAGAGCAGAGCTTCTTCATGCAGCCTGTGAAGGCAAGGAGGCAATCCTCCATATTAAAGCAGCTTGTTGAAATGCTTGGAACTTCACTTCCTTTATATAATACACTCACACAGTTTCTAAGGACTCTCTTTCTTAGAACTAGAGTTGGACATTATTGCACTCTAAGAGCAGATATCATTATGATGCTCCATGAAAAAGTATGCAATAGAAATATGTAATGTATTCTAATTTACATATGATGATGATTGTGCAAAAAGGATTAAATGATATGAGGAGAGAGAGAGAAAGAAGAAAATTGCAAAGGCAACTTCTGTTTCTTAATTCATCTGTAGGATAACGTCATTATGGATTCTGACAGGTGCCACAAGTTTGCCTGGTGTCTGGATGCTTGCATAAGATCTTGTACTGTCGATGAGAAGAAACTGAGGGAACTCTATGCATTTCTTGACACCATTCCAGGTGGAGATGATGTACTGGAGTAAGATTATTGTTCTATAATTATTAATTTCAATGATATTGAAGGAATTATTTTTTCTGTTTCTGCATCATTCTTTACAATAATTATTATCCATCTAATTAAATAGTAATCTTTGCTATCATGAATAGTATAACTGTTGTTTGTTAATAGAGATGTATCAATGCTGCTGCGGGACCCATTCATTCTTTATACAATCAGTCGCTCGGTTGTACTTAGTCTCCATAAGATGATGAATGAGAGCAAGTTACCACGAGTAGGCCCATGCAAGATGAACTTATAATGATGTCTTTTGTCATAGGAAAGCAGTCATTTGGAGAGTCTACTTCGTTTGTTGTTCATCGGCTTGAAATCAGCTAGTTACTTGGAAACTAAGTCATACAGTGGAGATCCATTGGTGAGTAAGCATAATTGAATTTAGTAACTTTTCACTCCTCATTTTTATTCTTCTCTTGTTGTAGGAAATTGATATCATAATAAAATTTCTTCCCGAGCTCCTGTCCTTCATGACAGAGTCATCACTAAGGCTAATCCACAGTAAACTAAAGCAGGACTACCCAGCATACACCCTATCTTCATCTTTCATCAGACACCTGACATCAACCACTGGGGCAATGCAACTCACAACATCCTACTCACTCTACCTCATCGACAAAAAAGACTTTAAAACTCTCTCCTCTCTCCTTCCAGCCATTGCTTCTTCATACACCGAATCAGAAACTGATATATTTCCTGATGGATACATGAACTCGGTTGTGGTTGGCGTAAGCTCTCACTTGGGGACAATTAGAGAAGCCACATTGCTAGCGATAATCAGAGAGTTCTTCCTGCCTTGTGCTAGACACTCGGAGATGTGCCTGCTCTATTTGTGCAGGTTTCTCTGGGTCGGCTCCAATAAAATAAAGAGAGAGATTGTCCAGGAGACACTGGACGAAATGAGACCTGCAACTGATCAGGTAAAGAGCTGAGTTCTGTAATAGTATCACAGTAGGCCATAATATGTATATGTGCATGCATCTTTCTTTTTGTATTATATTTTTATTTTTATTATTTTATATTCATGCTTTGTGTAGGCGAGGACAAGACTTAGTTTTTTCTTTAGAATTATATTTTTTCTTTCTTTTTGCATCCTTTTAAAAAACAGTTAAATATCATGTATATAAAAATTTTATATCTACATGATATTTAATTGTTTTTTTCTCCTGTTCCTATAGGTTAGTCCAATGGCTCAGGACCAGTATCAGGAACTAGTTGATAGAGTGAACAGCTACACTCAATAATCAGAACACCATAGTCTTTTCTGTTACATGTGTATAACTTTTGTCATTCACTTTTCTTCATTCCTAATTTCTCTCTTATTTTCTTTATAATAATTAAATATAAAAAATATACAAAAAGAGACCTAACCAACCAAAAATAAATACAATTCATTTTGTCCTTCATTTATCCTCTCAAAGTGATCCAGCTCTCAATGAGATTTGACTCAGTATTTCTAACAACAACGACACTTGGTGGATCACGTGGGTTGCTACTCCTTCAACATAAAGAAAAATTATAATTGTACAGATAATATTCTTTTTATGTGGTCTTTGCTCTATTAATTTCTATTCAAAATAATATTTATTACCTTAGATCAAGATGATGAGCTCC